ATTGAAAAGTCTAATACTTATTTTAATTGAAAAAAAAACTAATATCGAAATTGTTAGAAGTAATACATGTTTACATTTAAAAGCTAAGTTAGTTGTAGTGAATTGAAAATAGTAATATGTAAAAGGTTATAATTATTACCCGCTTTGACATCACCAAATATCTTATTTTGCTTCAAATCTTTTATTAGTAGGTCCAACTTCATTTTAAATATCCTACAAAGGATGTCCGGCCTGTCTTCTGAATTCAAACCTCTGTCACTAACGAAGCACATAATCTCTGACCATTTAGGATTACATGTGAATGTTATGAATAACTGTTTGGATACCCTGCCCATCTACATATTGCCATCGCATCTTGATAATTCTGCATCATATAACGTGCGCTCCATGTGAAGGAATTAGGTAGCACAATCGATTGACCCACCCTTCTTGCATTAGTCTCGCCCCGCCCAACTGCATTAGTCAAGCCACTGTATAAGTCACTTCTTAATTCCTTCTTACGTTGGCGAATAAATTGCAATCGAGTCGATTCCATCATTGTATATCCGTCCACCAGAAATTGTTGAAATAGGCGTTTTGATCGCAATATGAAAGATGTATCATTATTCCGGTCCTGGAGCCTTTCTGTGTGACATGCTTCCTTCCTCACTCTGTCTCATCATTCGCACGAGTCAATCTAACATCCTCTCTGTATCCATCTTGACCGTACGGGAATAATAAGGGGTATTGCAATCTCAGAAATGAAGGGTTTAACTCTGTCATGAATTGAAAAGCTCCTGACTTTGTTTGAACGACAACGTCTCGCTCTGCTTTGTTCACATGGAAGTCTCCTTCAATAAATAAATAAATAAAATATTAATATACTATCTAACAAACAAAATGAATGAATAACTACGTACCTGGATTTGTTAACTTGAAGACAAAAAGGTGATTGTGACTTGAGCAGATTTGCAAAAGAGAAGAGAGACACAGAAGGTTGTATATCCGTACTTCGGCCGTGACTTGCAGAATAAAGGAAGCAGCCGCAAGGAGGATTGGAGGAGTATATGGACTTATGGAGTATATGGAATGTATACTTCGTACTACTAACAAAGAAACATAATTGTATAGATTTAGGGCTGCAAAGGTTTCGGCCCTGTTATAATTTCAGGCCTTTGTTGTCACCATATTTTATTGCATACGCAATAATCGTAGTTATTAATATTAAAAAATTTGTATCTTAATTTAGATGTTTTAATTGGAATAAAAAAATTTGGTGTGTTCTGATCTGATCTGGTTATTTAAGTCATGTATGATGTGGTTTTAATTGGTCTAGTTTCGTAAACTTCTGAATTCTATGTATTTATGACTATCCAAGTCCGATCTGATATATTTAAATTTGGTCTGATATGATATGATCTGTTTAAGAGTCCGATTTTGTTCATCCCCTCTAAGGAGTGTGGACATCACCCAACCCTTCAACTCATGTCGTTTGGCATTAAAATTATGTTTTTCTTTTAAAAATTTTTAAAAAGAAACTCTTTTTTATTAAATCTATTTTTGGCCAATTTTGTTTTTTAATGTTACATATACAATATTGATATCACATGAGAGATCATAAAAAGGTTAAATGTTATTTCATTTTGTGAAAAATTTAAAGCGAAAATGATAAAGTTAAACAATTGCAAAATTTAAAAGAATTGTCATCCGTGTGGCATCCCAATAGGGTGGGGGTGATGTTCACCCTCTTTGGAGGGGTAAACAAAATTTGGTTCTTTCTGTTTAGGGATGTTTTTTTACTTAAATTTGTTGGTCTAGTCTGATCTGATCTGGTCTGGGATTGAAAACCGTCCAAAAGAAAACATCCTAAATCTCATTCATCGCATATTACACAAAAATCTCAAGGAGCACCATATATCATCTAAAGGTTGGAATTGATAAAAGAAAGGTATGCACTACGTATGTGATAAGCCTATATGCTTGGACCCGGTTCGGACCAACTGCCCCGGTACTGTGCGGGCCCGGCCCGACCCAGTACTGTGCGGGCCCGGCCCGGGAACCGGGTACCGGTTCCGGGTCTAAGTCCGGTTTGGGTGGGTAATCGGGGTCGGGTACGGACTTAGGTAAGTGAGAACCGGCCCGGCCGGTTCCGGGCCCGATTCGGGCCTTTCATTTTTTTTGTTGGTTTGGGGCTTTGGGCTGGGTTTAAATGGGCTGGAATGGGTCTTTCAGATGGGTTTGTGGGATGGGTGGGGGGGTAGAGGATAAAAATAATCAAGAAAACAAAAAAAAAATCATCACCGAACCTGACTCGGCCCAGCCCGGGCTCAGACCGGCACCGGTCTACTTTCGGGCCGGTCCCGGGTCTCACAGAATTTTTTTTTGCCCGGTCGGGCCTAGGTCCGACCCGGGCCCGGAACCAGTTGAGTCCATCAGTATATGCTAATATGCCTAATACCTTGGAATTATTATATACTGATTCCCCACTATAAAATCATGCTAAATCGTTGTACATAATTAAAGAATAAGGGATACAGAATAAAGGATGATCACTTATGTGAGATTTATGTCACTATTTTATCATTTGTGAATTAATAACGATATACGTATGCAATCATACGTCCCAGAATTGACACTCTTCATTTGTTATCAATACAATACGAACCTTAACATTGCTGAAAAAAGTTATGCTTCATACATTTGTTTTGATATGCAATCATCCATCCCATAATTGACACACTCTTCCTTTGTTTTCAATCAAATTTAAACAGCGTTAACATTGCTAAAAATAACTATATATATTATGGTGAGATTTTGGTTGGGACACAAAACATTAGAGAATACACAAAATATTTTGACCAAAAGATTGTAGTCATCGAAGCACACATTATTATGAATCAAAATTTAATCAACGATTTAAATCCAAAACGTGTAATAGGTAAACAAAACATCAAAGCAAAGCAAAGTCATATATTAGCTAAAAATGAAAAAGCAAGCAAAGAGTTCTCCTCAAAAGAAAAATTGAAAATTGTCATGTCTTTTCAATTTTCACCGACTTTAATTTCTTATTAGATGATCCTTGTGTTGAGCCGTTGTCATTAGGAGTTAGGATGTTTTTACTTGGACTGTAATTTGCTGGTCTGGTCTGGTCTGGTCTGAACTGGTCTGGTCTGGTAAAGTCTGGTTTCTTTGTATTTTTATAACTATCCAAGTCTGGTCTGATCTGGTCTGGAACAAATTACAGTCCAAGTAAAAACATCTTTAATGTTCCTTCTCCTAATTTTCGACGTTGTAAAGTTGAATTTGGAGTAACGACCACATCCTTTTCGGTGTCGGAAGTAATCTGCAAAAAAAAAATTGAAATAACATGAATGTAGGCAATTGACATTACACATAATGGATTACTGGGTAGAGGCAGGTTAATAACATTCTCATCTCACTGTATAAGAACTCGCGAAACAAACATAGTGGTATGAAAATAAATTGGAATGCACATTTAATAGTGGTCTGAACTTTCTCAATGTATAACAACTCACTTGCTTTATATGCTCAAAAAACAAAACAAAAAATCTAGCAATCTAAAACACTTTTCGAACTCTAGAATAACATTAAAGTTCAGATATAATCATGGTTTAGATCCTGCTGGAGAAACAACAAATTAGTACTCTAGAAAAAACTTTACTTAGTGTGTCCGTCAATCATTTAGTTCAAAACTTAATCTAATTCCATCAATTTATAAACTAACATAACATGAATGTGGGCAATTGACAATATACAGAATGGATGACTTGGTTTGAAATTCAACCCTTAATGGGCATGGCCAAATGAATATTTCAAGTAAACAGTCCCAAAAAAAAAAACATCAGTTCACAATCATGTGTTAATTGCTTATCATAAACCTCGAACATTATGCAAAACTTCCTTTACAATTCAAAATCACTAATACTCTAAAATATATTATCAATCATACATAAGTATAGGCCATAAATAAGTTTCACATACCCCTATGATAAGTTACACTCTTTAGAGAAAAGTAATTAAGTTTTTTGTCCTAAATAAAATCAGAAAAGTTTTTAAATGAGAGAGTACGTCTAATTATCTGGAGAAATCAAATATAAAGAAAACCTCAAAGAAAGCTTAAAGAAATTCTGTTGCATCCGCTACCTAATAAACTTATTCACTTCTTAAATATACATGAATCGGGGGAGGATTTATCTAGGACAATTTATTTTTTCATCTTTTGATGTAAATTTTTATATGTAATTCACTCTGGATTCTTGGATCCCTCTTGTATTATTGCGTAAATTTAGTAACAAACGTAATATAGAGTATCCCTGAACTGTGAACGCCTTTAGATTGTTGATTGAAAAGTAACAAAAGTTCAATAAACTATTATACAATTTTGCCAAAAAAAAAAGATATTATTTACCAAGTGTAAAAGATTTTCAACAGTCAACCTTCAAACCTTTTTATCACATCCTGAATGTGTGTACTACGTATGATTAACAGAATATCGAAAACATCAAATTTAAGCTACTGCGGTGAAAAGGTAGAAGCATACCACATTTGAATCTACTGTAGTCGGTCCAGTTTCAAATAGCAATTCGAGATCTTCATCAGAATTGTAAGCTTGTTTATTTTAAGTGATTATTTTGAATGGAAATTGGAAAAATAGGAAAGTAATATATTCATTCATGTATTAATAGCTATATATTCCCTCACTAATTGATTCTTCAGTTGTTGCATTTTTTATCTCATCTATTTTTTCCTTGTTTTGTGAAACCATACTTATGACGTATACTTTTCCAGCACTGCCCGGAACCGAATCTGCACGGTTAATTTTGAAAAGATACTCTTGTCCAACCAATTCATTTATTGCCTCAGGACAACTTTTTGTTCTACGATTATCCTACAAATTAAAATATAAAATGTTAAAGTTATAAATAACAGACAAATTAACATCACAAGTAAAAATGGACTTAATTTATGGTCTACTTCCACAACCATGCAGTACCATTGGACAATTTTCAGATTTTTAATATTACTTTTAGTGCATATTGAGATGTTACATACTAACAAAATTTCATATAGATATAGAAATGTACAATAAATGAAATAAATATTATATTTTATCGCATCTGAATGTTCACTAAAATCCCCAGTAACCTTTCCAAGCAGTTAGCATGCCACATCATCCCAAAACATGACATCTGCAAAATGCTTTCCGTGCCTGACTTTGAGTTCAATGTATATCGCCAGATGCCATTAGGTCTATGTATCCCACACTTTTCACAAACATAATCTTCATTCAACTTCTTAAAACATTTTATCTCGCTGCATGCAAGGTAAGCCCAACCCCATGATGAAATTATTGAATATATCTCAGCATAGAACCAACAACCACGCACCTGTCACATTTGCAAATGATATATACCAATAATCATAACGTAAAACTTTAAGAGAAATTCATCTAATTAAGAATAATGAAATTGATAAATTAAGTACATAACGCTTTGCCTAAATTTAAATAATTTTTAATATGATTTAAAAATTATATAGACTTAAATTTTAGTATTTACCTCTTTCGTAATGGATAGCTCTGAAAGCGTTCTAGTGAAACCAGAATCATTAGAAGTGGATGCGGATGCATTAGATGCGCCTGAAACGCGCTAGTGGATGGCGTTTGTTGTTGCATCATCATCATATAGCTTCAAGAAAGAAACCGGTTCAAAATTATCGTTATCGAAATAATTCAAAGTCTAATTTGAATGCAATTGTAAATATGTATTGCAAATTCTATTAAAAATAATATATACCGCTCTCGAAACTCTTCAATATCACGAATGTGATCATCCAACAACAATTTTGTGAAATGTAATCTTGAAGACACACCCTTTGTATCACCGGCTGCATTAAATCATGATGGTCATTTCCTTAAAAATGTAGAATATATTTAAGACATTTGAATATAGAAAAATCGCTCATCAGAACTACCAAAACGCTTGTTTATTCGTCCCAATTGCAGGAGCACGATAACAAGATTTTGCCTGGGAACTTCTAAGAACCTAAAAAATTGAGCAGAATGATCGCCCCACAATGTGCACCAAAATTTAATGTTCCTGGATGTAAATTATAAACTAATGATTAAAGAACAATAAAAATATATATGCTTGTTAAATTATATATTGAGTAATTAAAATTCTATTAACTGTAGATTGGTTATCTGAAATCTACACCAAGATTTACTTAAGTCATCTGGTTTGAATGGAGCATCATCCGGATTGTATGCACCCATGACATCTACAAAAACAATCAAATTGTTAAGTGCAGATTATATGAAAATTGTAAAGATGTACTAATACAATTGTTGTGACTAATACATACCCAACAAATTAGCACCCACTACATCGGGGCCATTAATAATATCAGAAAACTCTGTGATTTTATAGACGCTTTGCCTGAAGTAGTCATGCTTTTTATCTTCTTGGAAAGAGATTTTTGTATTATCTGTGAAGTACAAACGATATGGATGGGGAGTTGGCCTCCAATTGCCCTGATTCTCTTTTACTTCAAAGTTCTTTATTGCATACAATTTTCCCTCTTCGAATTTATCTTCAAGCTATGGAATCAAGTGGAGCGGAATCGTGGCTTGGATGAATTTACCCTAAATATGAAATAGGTGCCAATAATAAACAAATTATATAATAGCTTTCAATGACTGAAAAGGTAAATTATCATTGAGAACAAACGTATGTGATAAAGCTATAGTTTTTTTTAAATCAAGAAAGTAGTGAAGAAGAGCAGAAAAAGAAATATATCTTAGAAAATCTCAACCCTTGAGATAAAAACTTACGTGATAAAGCTGGAGTTTGTTTTAATGTTAATATGTACTTTTAACATAATTAATAAAACTTGAATTCTCTGCACTTAGAAAATTTCAATCATTGAAATAAAGAGTGAGTCTATGAGGACTGCTATAATCATATTGTTCCAAGTTAAGAGTTCCAGGTCTGACAAAAAAAACTACAGCTTTATCACATAAGTTTGTTCTCAATAATCAGTTTGACTAAATGATTAACTATTCACCAAGTGGAAGGTTTTATCAATTAATTCGGGGCTGCTATAAGGACTTTAAGGATGACAATAAGTTGCTTCCATCAGTTATGCACCCCATTGACATAAACATCATTGTGGATGACTTATAATTAATATTGATGACTGTGTCAATTACAATATGTGTTTTAAACTACAAACCTGCACGCATCACGCAAATATTGATGTTTCAACACACAGATGGGTCCTTTGATATATATTTGCATAATAAGTGGTGGGTCCTTTTCCCTAAATATACAGATGGATCTTTTTATAGGAGATGTGGATAAAACTCAAAATGGAATGGTTCTAACAGTTTTTTGAAAAAAATCAAGAGACGCGGGTGTCTTGGATCTGTGCTACTCAAGAAGGACTGTTAAAATAATAAAGATATTGCATTTTCTTTTCAAGTTGCATATGCACCATGTTATGGGAGAAAGCACAATAACAGTCAAGTAGTAAAGGCTAGCATAATAACATTCAAGTAGTAAAACTAACAAAGAGAACTTTAATATAGGTAGGAACCGTAGGATATGATATCTCTAAGAAATTTAGCTTAGAGATTTGTTCAGGTTTGACTATCCTTCAACTATTTTTTAAAAATGTCAAATAAAGCACTATAAACAAATAACAGATGTAGTTTATCACCTCTTCGTCCATCAATACTAATTCATATCTGTTTCTCGCCGGCGTCCATTTTATGGCAACACGAAGTAGAAACGCAGCACGCACATCCAAATTATGTGTGACATCGGAAATGACTTTCTTAACTGGTGCCATGTCCTACACACAAAAAAAAAAATCAGTAGCACTCCTCATATTATGATTAAAAAAAAGCAGCAACACTTTGTTATTTAACCAAAAAAACAGAGTTCAAAATAAACAAAAGGTAGCAGTTGTTTTGATAAAAGCTCTACATATGAACCTACCAAATCAATTTTTAAAATGATCAACTCGGTGATTGAATATTTATAATATGATACACTATCAAGTGAAAAAGATGTAGTTTTTCCATCTTCACATTGTATTTAAACTTCCCAATCGATAAAACTGTAGTTTTTCCGCAAGTTATGTGATAAAGCTGTAGCTTGGGTAAATTTTGGTTCATAGAGGGTGTTTGATATACTTTCCATATGAAATACTTCCCTAGAAATTCACTTTCCTAGTCAGAGAGGAAGATAATCCATTAGTTCAACTAAATTTAGATCGAATACCGATATGAATACAGTATGCCTCATGAATCTAAGTTAATAGCATATCATGATACGTTAATCATGATATGTTAATAGCATATCATTATATCACTTTTAGTGAAAATCCAACAACATAAATCATCATTCATCATAATTCAGGGATGAGGTTTTGGTAACAAATGCTTCACAGAAAGTAAATTATGAATTCAATGATGATAAATTAATTGAACTGTAAAAATGTCAATGGAATACCTCTTGAAACCTTTGCCTTCAAATAGCAATACGGATGAGAACGGCTGATGTGCGTGCAAATATAAGAGGTCATAATTTTATTGGGTGCATATATAGACGGTAATAGCAAGTCTCATGATTTTATTGAGAACTTATACTCCTTAGCAATAACAATTACCCCCCTCCTCTTAGCTCAGACAGGCGATCGGCCCGTCGAGTTTGTAGCGAAGTGTGTTGTAACGGACCTCTTAGGATGTTTTTACTTGGACTGTAATTTGTCCCAGACCAGACCAGACCAGACCAGACCAGTCCAGACCAGACCAGACCAGACCAGACCAGACCAGACCAGACTTGGATAGTTATTAAAATACAAAGAAACCAGACCTTACCAGACCAGACCAGACCAGACCAGTTCAGACCAGACCAGACCAGACCAGACCAGATCAGACCAGACCAGCAAATTACAGTCCAAGTAAAAACATCCTTATTGTTGATTGAATAAGATACGACCCACTTACTACTCTTATTACTTGTTCTTTCTTACTTGCTTGCACCACATACTCCGCTTGAAACCCCAAGGGAAGGTGATGGGTCCCATGTGAGGTGAAAGTCTAGGGGGTGAATAGACTTTTAAATCTTTTCATTTTTCAACCCTTTTTCCTCTAACAAAATGAGTTCCAATATCTTTTGGGAGATATTGAAACATACAGCGGAAATCTTGACCTCAGCAGTGTGACACTTGATAGAAACAAAGGTTATGACCCCTTTAGTTGTGAGGAGATGGATGAAACGGGATGCAAAGGTTATGCCAAGATCAGCTGGCTCAAAGAGTAGGCTGCTGAATCCTTATGGGTTGGCTGTCAGAATTGGGAGCTGGTTGCTGAACCCCTCAGGAGCAGGCTGCTGATTTGGCTGCTTTATCAATGTTTGAGGCATAGAGAAGAACTATGACCTTGAACATTGTTTGGCTGTTTAGGATAGACAAAACACATATGTATGAAGGATTTAGAACTATTGGAATAGATCACTTTGATGAGCAGAAACAAAGGGATGATCCACAGTGACCTGGAAAGGTTCACTGGATAGTTTTAGTTACCAAGTTGTTTTGCTGTAGTTGTGAATGTGAGTGAGAACTGAAGTGTATGTTAGGAGCAGAATGTAAAAGGTGACACAAGATGCATCCTGGTTCAGAGGTGGTGTAATCCTCCTACATCCATTTCCAGCATATTTCAGAAGGATTTCCACTAAATGAATATCCCACTACATTTAGTGCCCAATGTACCCTTAGCCCATACGTAGATTGTGAGGTTTTTCACAAGGAATTTCAACACCATTCCAAGCTACTCAGTCCTCCCAAGATTTTTCACTAATGACATTGACTTGCCAGGAGTTACTCATGTCCTTGTTCTTTCTCACCTTCTGGGTTTGAACACAAAGCCCTCCATAATGTCTAACACTAGTCTAGTTTACATGAGTGTAAATCTAAACTACCAACTAATCTAAGCTTTATAGGTTTGTATGAATTCTAGCTAATCTAAGAGCATTAGATGAGTGGGCTGGCAGCCGAAGTGGTGAAGGAGAATCAGCTGACTAGATGTGAGCATGTAAAAATTGATTCCCTTCTATTCCACTTGGCTCCTCTCGTTTTACTACAATTGGTATTCCCACACTCCTTCTGTATTTATAGACTGATCATTGAATCTCCACCGTTGGCTGAGGAAATCAATCTTGACCGTAGCTTGATCTACTTGCATTTGTTCCACTTGACTGAGGCAACATGGTTGGTCTTTGTCTTCTTGTGACACAAATCAATATCTCCGCTTCAACTTGTTTCCTCATTTCAATGCAGAGATAAATATGTTTTATCTTTGTTTCTTTTGTGCGTAGAAACTTAGTATAAAAGGCCGAGTGATGTTTTAATGCTTCCTTACAAATAACAAATACTTGCTTTTAGTAAAATAAATTCATGATAAATTTATAATGTGATAACAAATCTCTTATAAATTTACTTTCTATCAATTTGTTATTTTGACTGCAAGTTGGTCTTTTGTTTAATTGTTTTTGTGCTGAGAGAAGAGTGAGTTTGATTTCGGATGCTTTAACTGGAAAACATGATTTTCAGCGGGCTGCCAAGTTTTCACCTGGCTGCTGAAATCTTGTGTTTCAATTGGCTTCCTTTTCAATGAATGCCAGTTAACTCTTTTTTGTGCCCTTTCTTTTTTATTCTTTTCTTTTTGTTTTATGGTACGTTTTTTTCTCTTTTTAGTACTCTTAGATTTCTTGAGTACTTTATCACTAATATATGAGCACATTACAATAAACGAAATGGAACTAATACAAGAGATAATAGTCTATTACAGGGATAATAAAAAGGGGTGGCATCATCAAAACAATGCATATTAATCATCAAAATCTAGGGAACCTACCAGAAGGTGCTGGGCCTTTGGAGTTGAAGGAACAAAGCTCAACACCGGCGCCGTCTATGGGAAACTGATCTAAAAGTTTCCGAACAAGCTATCACACCAAATCAGCTCTTTACGAACCCTATAAGCAAGCAAGATGACAGGAAACAACTCTAAGCGTACTTGTGACCTATCCGAACAGTTGGCAAACAACAGGAGGTCACACTCTCAGTCATCCGGAGGGCGGTCCAACAGCTTATGAACCCGTGGGGATGTCACCAACTTGATCCCTTAGAAGCCAGAAGGGACCCTCACATCATGAGGGAGCTGGCGGAAACCATGCGACGCATGGCAGACGAGCTGGATGTTGAACGGACGGTGTACTCGGCGGAGACCGAGCGTACACCTCTCTCCCACGTTCGGTTCATGCAGCCATCAGAGGAATAGATGGATGAAACTGTGGGCTCTCATACCTAGGTTCATACGCAGATTGGCGGAACCCCCCTTCACAAGACATGGGAGGCCAAGGAGGGACCAGGGCACTCTGACAATGGCATTAGTATGCGGCCCGAGACCGCACCCTAGTGATGCCACACAAAATTCACTAGGCCAGAGAACCAACTCCCGTGGTGAGCAACGTGGGACCACATTTCCAGTACATGGAGGGGCATGACGCCCGCTTCATCCAGAGGCAGTCTGGTTCTGACGCTGTCCGTGCAGAGGTTACTTCAATGGGTATCTGTCTTGTGGCCCCTGCCACATACCACGACACATGATGAGATTGTTGCTGCTATGGTGGCACGAAGACTAGTCCAGCACAACCTCAGATTGCCCTCACCTTCTCATTCCCTGCAAGGATCATGGCTACAGAATCCCACGAGACTGCAGGGCGCCCAACATGCTAGTTTACAATGGGGTTGGAGACCCAAAGTCCCGCCTGCTCACTTTCCGGGGTGGGTTCACCATGCTGGCACATCTGATGACGCCATTTGCAGGTTGTTCTTCATCACCCTCCAGGGCCGGCGCAGAAATGGTTCGAGCAATTGAGGTATGAGACCATAGACAGTTTTGACCAAATGTCTAGGCAGTTCATGGCGCGGTTCACGTCCAGTTCCACAGAAAAACACTTCATCTCGCTGACGAGCGTTCGACAAGGCAACAGAGAATTCCTCCCAGCCTTCTTGATCCGATGGAGGGACGATACTTTGAAGGTCGAGGACCTGTCAGAATGCACAAGCATCACCCTCTTCACCAACTCCTTGATGACATAAGACCTATGTAGGGATCTGAAGAGGAACCCGGGGATCAACTATTGTGGGCGTTGGCCCGAGCGCAGAAGTACGTTGCGGTTGAAGAAGAAATTGTCCGGGGGGACAGGGCGTCAGCCGCTACGATCCGCAAGATGGCGGATCGGCCGGGCCTAGGAGCGGGGGACACCCCATTGACCAAGAAAAAAAAGACGAACAACGGCATCGTGCCGTGGGTACCCCACAGACGAACACCTTGGCATTTAATGCAGTAGATTTGGTGGTTAGGAAGCTAGACACTCACAGTCCTCCTCCTCATTAATATTATCTAACCCCTGGTAGTATAAATAGTAACATTTATTTCATTGTAAAGAGTTGACAACTTATACTCCTTAGCAATTACAGTTATCCCCCCTCCTCTTAGCTCAGACAGACGGTCGACTCATCAGATTTGTAGTGAAGTGTGTTGTGATGGACCTCTTATTGTTGATTGAATAAGATACAATCCCCTTACTACTCTTATTACTTATCCTTTCTTACTTGCTTGCACCACATATTCCGCTGGAAACCAAAGGAAAGGTGTTGGGCCTTTGGAGTTGAAGGAATAAACCTCAACACAACCAAATTCACAAGACTCAACTAGAGTGTGTGCTGCCATATTCAGCACACACGCTTAAAAGAATAAACAAGAAAGATACTGACAAAAACTTTAATGTCAGCAATAACAGGCCCGAACATCAAGCGATCCCTTCCAATAGCTTGGACACGTTGAATGACACAAAGGCAATCGGAAGCAACACAGAGGTTGAGCGCACGTCAGACAACCAAAGCTTCAACAAAACATTCGTTGCAAGCAAGCAAGCAATGTCCTTTGTGGTCTTGAAGCACAATCCTTTGGTCTCGAAGCACTATCAATGTAGTGATATAATGACTTCATCAAAACATTCGTTGCAAGCAAGCAAGCAATGTCCTTTGTGGTCTCGAAGCACAATCCTTACGTCCGAAACCATTAAAAGCATTCAAACCAAGTTTGAAATTTGGATTAGCAAAATAAAAAAACAAAGTTGGAGCTGTTTGGTAAGGGAAAAAAAGCTTGGGGAAACGTTCCTGTATTTTGAATTGCTAATTTGCTCAAGTCATTTTCACGATATGAGCACTTATCCGTTCACTCGTTGCGACTTGCGAGTGCTTTGCCCGCTCCCAACACCATTCCCACGCGTTTGCCTAGGCATGTATTCGGCAACATGTCATTAGCACGTGCATTCACGCTCTTCTCACGAGAGTGGTTCGTCAGGTCATCAATCAAAAACGTAAAACTAAAATTAGCGTCCCGGTCGGTCCCTCCCTCAAAACCCCGTCGATCACCCTCTCAACCCTCATTTCTAAACTCGCCGGCGAGCGGCTGAGATTGAAAAGCAGAGAATCAAGCGATCAAACGACACCGTTCTGCTCACTCCGTCCACACTTCATTCTGTCTGCAACAGAAATCGGTGCGAAGGATAGTTTGGGACACATACATACGCTTACAGGGGATACAGATAACTATCTTTAGGCATTTGTACTGGGTGTGGATTTGAGAAGATATATACGTATCGATAGATTTTTGCAATGTCGGAGGATGATAAGTTGTTGAAGGAGGCGAAGAAGCTTCCATGGGATGACCGGTTGTTGCACAAGAATTGGAAGGTCCGGAACGACGCCAACATCGACCTAGCTTCCGTGTTTGATTCCATCACCGATCCCAAGGATCCCCGAATACGTGAATTTGGTATGTTTAGGTTTTCCGTTCCGTTAGATCTGGTTTCATGTTTTTCGATCTTGATGTTGTCCATCTACGAACTATTACATGTAATGTGAGTAAGATTACTGTTGCCTTGATCTTAAATTTCGAAAATTTCGGATAACTTTTGTACTAGGACCGTATTTTAAGAAGATGGTGGCCGATTCAAATGCGCCAGTTCAAGAGAAGGCACTTGATGCGCTAATTTCTTACTTGAAAGTAGCTGATGCTGATGCTGGAAGGTTGTTCATGAATTAGTTTTTCATTGCTGCGAGAATAGCTTAAGTGGAAATCAGAATTATATTGAAATGCTCTTGGTTGGATAGGTACGCTAAAGAAGTATGCGATGCAATTGTAGCAAAATGCTTGACGGGGAGACCAAAGACAGTAGAGAAGGCACAGGCAATCTTTATGCTTTGGGTAGAGTTAGAGGCTGTTGAATCATTCTTGGTAAGCAAAAGATGATTTTTCCTAATAATACTCTCATTGTGTAGAAGCTTCATGGTGCGAAGTTTCTGAGCCTGCAGTTAACTGTGTCAATGGTTCAATTGAATTTATAAGCTTCTTGTTCTGAGAGTGATTCTGAAACTTGCCCCAGTTTAACTTTTGCCATTTCTAGCTTTGACAAGAAAGTTTCATTTTGCTGAAGCATTATCAAGGCCAAAAAATGGGCTTGCTCCACTCTAGTGATAACAGGGACTGTGGCATTGTGCCCATGTTTTTTAATCTATTGTAAGAATAACTTGCAGCTCAAAAGAAGATTGGTGGGAGTTGAAAATATTTCAAGGACGATGATATGCCCTTTATTATTATTAATAAAACCCTATGTTACTTATCAATCTGCTACATTGTAGGATGCTATGGAGAAAGCAATAAAAAACAGAGTTGCCAAAGCTGTTGTACCCGCAGTAGATGTCATGTTTCAGGCCTTGAGGTACACTGGAATCTGCCCTTCTGTTTTTACTTGCTCTTATTTGTTTGGTGGTTTGAATTCTCACAACCCTTCCCGACAATGAACAGTGAATTTGGCTCAAAGGTTATCCCACCAAAGAGAATATTGAAGATGCTTCCTGAACTGTTTGATCATCAGGATCAGAATGTCCGAGCTTGTTCTAAGGGCCTAACACTGGAACTCTGTCGATGGATTGGGAAAGATCCAGTGAAATCCATACTTTTTGAAAAAATGCGTGACACAATGGTTTGTTATTTGCCTTAGTTTTCATTTTGTTGCTTCTTGTTCATGTTAGGGTTGGTGGAATCTTATCATTCTTTTTATTTTACTAAGAAAAAAGAATTGGAGGCTGAGCTTGTTAATGTTACTGGGACCGCAAAGCCAACCCGCAAAATAAGGTATCATCTCTGCTTCCTTTAATTTTCTGATCACATTTTTCCTTTTCACATGGAGAGGTCAAAGGTGAAGTGCATGAATGTTTTTATAACAGTATCTCCATTGGTGATTTCTAAAAACCTGATTTTTTCGTGATTCTTATTTTAAAGTATTTCCACATAAATAGATTTTAATAAACTCGAATTCTTTTATGAATTTAAAACATCATCTTCAAATAATGTGAAAGAGGATGCCCTAAGTTTTGCTCAATGTCTGCCAGATCTGAGCAAGATAAATTGCCAGAACAGGATGCTGTGCCCGAGATAGCTTGCTCTGGCCCTTCTGAAGAACCAGCGGCTGACAGTATGCAACTTTGAATGTTTATCTATTAATTACGTTTGGGGTCAAAGTAGAATAATGATTCTGAAAGCTATTATTGGGGACAGGGTGTATATTGCTAGATTTTCTAGTCCTGAACTCTTTTAATTCCTGTCAGCTCCGCAGGAAATAGATGAATATGAACTTGTAGATCCTGTTGATATTTTGACTCCTCTGGAAAAGTCTGGATTTTGGGAAGGGGTGGTATGTGCTCTCTTGCAACCTTTTGTGCTTTTAAACAACTTCAGTATGCCAATTACATGCTTAAATATATCTTTCACATCTTTGTCTTACAGTTCTCTTTTTTTGTACCTTTTCTTTTGTATATAGAAAGCTGCTAAGTGGTCAGAACGAAAGGATGCTGTTGCTGAGTTAACAAAGCTTTCTTCGACAAAGAGAATAGCACCTGGTGATTTTTCAGAAATTTGCCGCACATTGAAGAAGGCATGTTGATGGATTGATTGTTAATCTCTCTTGTGAACTATTGGCAATAGCGGCTATCATATTATTGATTATTGTCTAAGATATATGTTGGAAATGGTGCAACAATGTTGTTCTTCTGTTTTTGACTTTCTTTTTTTTCTTTATGTACCTTGCTATAAGCACTGTGATGTAAATGACATCATGTAACAGTGCCATTTTCTGTAAATTGCAGCTTATCACTGATGTGAACATTGCTGTAGCTGTTGAAGCCATACAAGCAATTGGGAATCTTGCTAGAGGACTAAGAACCCATTTCTCAGGGAGCTCACGGTTCTTACTGCCTATTTTACTGGTAAGTTTGTGCAAATTAGATTTCATCATCATTATTATTATTAGTGATAAACATGATTGAATGTTATATTATACAGTTGTGGACACTGCATTTTCCATTTATTGTATGTGGTGGACACTGCATTTTCCATTTTATTTGGTCATGTTTTACTTTCTTACCTTAATCTGTATTGCGGTGCTTGAGTTCAATAGAAGTTTACTCTTCAGTATAGGACTGCCTGATTGACATGATATATTCTAGAATTTAATTTTTCTTTTCAGTATTCTTTCACAGTTTCACCCTTTTCTTGAGCCTAGTTGCCTAGGTTTTTCTTTGGGCAATTCTTTCATATTCTTTGTTGTGAAGCAGCAGTCACTCATGTTATTTTCGATGTGATTTTCACTATGGGTCATGCGGAAACAGTCTCTCTGTGCTTTAGTACAGGGGTAAGGCTGCGTACATCCGACCCCCCTTACCCCACCGTTGGTGGGGGCCTTTGCAGCACTGGGTTAATGATAATGATGATGAAATTTTTATATTCTATTAAGATATGATTATAGTTATAGCCCTATAAAGATTCAACCTGTAATAAATTTCACAGGTATTTTACTGATGTATGGACAGCGAACATTAATCCTGAAAGTGTACGTGCAAGTAAACAACACTAATCATAATTAGTTGTTTATTTTCCACCGAGAATGAATCAACCAAATTAAGTGTTAAATGATAAATTAGGTGTAGTATTGTTGTTTCATTATTACTAGAACATTACTTTCGTATCTTAAACTTTGCTCTAATAGAAGGACGCGTGTGCCTATTGGACAAGGTCATGACACAAACTTTGCTGGCAAATGGAAGTTCAAGTAATGCTGATGTACTGATGTACTAAATGACTATAAGTCAAGCATGTAGCTCTATAGTTGATGTCTATGCGTACAGTGTATGTCTACCGTAAACACGTAATGACATGTTTCCACATGTGACTCTATTGCATTATGTGGTGTCAAGGCCTACATATTGAACATAAATTGGAATCTTGGGGTGTGCTTTGTTCAACAGATAGAAATATTTTAATGGAGGGAAATGCATTTTAGTATTATTTCATCTGGTTATATTGGGTGGGGGATGAAATTTATGTTACTGTGTGCTTTAGAAGGGAGGGTTGGGACGGAAGCAGAAGACTAATTTTCTGTACATTTAATGACAACCAATCGTTATGACTTCAAAAAATAAGTATAAATATTAATGACAACTAATACTTATAACTTCACAGGGTAGTAAATAGTACTCATCATCATAATTCATCATCATCATCATTACCTCAGTGCCGCAAAGGCTCCCACCTTCGGTGGGGTAAGGGGGTAGTAAATAGTACTAGTAACAAATATTATTACTTCCTCTTTGCACTTGCCCTTTTGACTTGTTCCACTTTTTTTATATGGAAATTTATTATCACCTCGCCACCCATACATCTTCACTTTTAGATTCGGTGAAACATCTTCAGGAGCTACTAACTAGTAAAGGGAGAGTGTATTTATTCATAGTAATATTTACACATAAGTTTATTTAAATAATTCTCCGTAATATTTTTGAAGACCTGATGTGCTCCCTCCCACTTCTCTACCCCAGAACAAGGGGAAGGGAGCTAAATCCCTCCGCCTATCCAATCCAAAAATATGTTGTTTGGTTTCAAAGCTGACTTGTCATTTTCGTTTCTCACCGATATCAATTACATAGTACTCCCTCCGTCCCGCTATGATTGTCCCATTTTACCTTTTCGGTCCGTCCCACTAAGATGTCCCATACCTTATTAGGTAAATTTTGTGTGATTCTAAATCATTCTTACTTTATTCTTACTCTATCAATTCAATATCAACCACATAAACCCACTTTTATTAATAACCGTGTCACCTTCTCTTGTCCCAAACTTAGGGGGACGGAGGTAGTACAATTTAAGCAGAGTTATGCTAGAAACTTGTGAAACATTTTTTTCCAACTCGATATAAATGAGAGGTTGTAAAGATCATTTAGCTGCTTGATCTAGTACTAAACTGATCCCCTTTGTGTTTTATTACTTTTATAGTCCAGTTTCACCTTGCTTGTAACTTTCCTTTTTTATGATGTTTTTTTCTTGATTTTTTACAGGAAAAATTGAAAGAGAAAAAGCCTACTTTATCAGAGTCACTTACTCAAACACTCCAGGCAATGCACAAGTCTGGCTGTTTAAATCTCTCAGATATAGTTGAAGGTAGGTTCTTTGTTTCAACGCAACAAAATATCCAACACAACAACAAAATCTAAGCCTTATTCTCAAAAGAGCTTGCAGTCGGCTAACATGAATCGACATATGATATTGGAGTTAAAACATTAGATAGGGAACGAGTAAGACTTACAAAAACATATATTTTGACAAAATATTCGATACATATTTTTTTGAATACTGCATACAAAGCTTGAAATCGGCTGTGGGTTATTCACCATCCATTATGATCAATTTCTATCACCTTTTCGTGGATGGGTAACAAATTCATCACAATGTAGCATTCTCGAATATCCCCTCTCAGTTTCATGCTGGTATTTCTTGGCTTAATGTTTTTTTGAACTAAAGAATTGGCGATGTTGCAGATATTAAGGCAGCCACAAAGAATAAGGTTCCTCTAGTTCGATCTTTGACATTGAATTGGGTGACACTTTGTATTGAAACTAGCAGCAAGGCTATTATTCTTAAAGTTCACAAGGAGTATGTTCCCATTTGTATGGAGGTGAGTTACAAAAGATCTTTTAATTTTGCTGGTTTTGTAAACTAGATGTATATTGTAGTTAGATTCTTTAGGCTCCGTTTGATACTTCGGTTTGAGGTTACATAAAGAAACACAATGAACCTAGGCTCAATAAAAATTGCATGACTCCAGGTGAATTTATAAAATGCTGTTTGGATCATTAATAAGGGTAAGCTAGGAAAATGTAATACTGAGTGAAAGCATGCTTAGATGGGGGGTCTTCTACTCATCAAATGAGCAGGTTCACCCTAAACCAAATGAATAATTAGCATCTTTATGACTATGTATGGGTTGGATCCAGGGTTTGTAGTTCAAGGGTGCAATTTCTTTGTAACTATTATAAAATGTTTTGTTATATGAAAATAGAAACATATGTTTTCCAAAAGTGCACCGTGAAACAGTGGTCTGAACTAGCTAGTAGTCAGTTGCCGACTACTCCCTAACCCGCCTAGACGTTGATTAGAAGGAGTCTAGTCGTCTAGATGAGACATAAGAATTAAATACAAATTCAATAGCTCTCACTGTTTTAAAATAACACAAACTGCATTGAATTCATGATTCCATAAGTTCAACCCCAACGATGATTTTAGGTTTTATAATTTTTTTTACATAAAATGTAGTGAGTTATTTGGTAAGATAGAAGGTGACTTCTTGCAATAAATGGAATCTTTCTCCCAGAGAAATGTAATTTAATATGATCCAAATCACTTTCCACCAAGGATTCATTTTCCTCTAAATCAGGAAAGTAGTTCTACATGAGCAATAATTTGAAATGGTTAAAGGCATCAATCATCACTGGTTAATCATGTATATTCTATTTAAGTGCTTTGTCACTGTTCATAGCTGTATCGTAGGATGCCTATCCATGCCCATCGACTCCGTGATTATTATTAACGTATATTTACACAATTTAGTCTGAGAAATCAAAAGTATAGTGTTTGGTAAATAGTAGGCTTATAAGGCTGATAATATGGAATAATTTAGTGTTTGATAAATACTACTTACTAGATGTGCTCTATATTTTTGTCTATAATATTTTCATGAAGCTGGTTTAAATGAATTTTTCCAGTGAGAGTATGCGACTTATCGAGACAGACCAAGTAGTTGTGGTTACCAAGTAATGAAGTCAAGGAAAGTCTACAAGACCTTAATGCAATTGATCGTTGCATTTTTAAATCAATCTGCCCATTAGGGGCTAGGAGATGACCAATATATAATTACTTTTCACCTAGTCGCGTGAAAAGTGAGAAGTAAACTGATAGTCTGATACTTAACAGCTTATGTGCGAGATCTTGTCAAGGGCCTTTGGGCGAGTGGGAGGAAAGATGAGGCTTGGCTATGGTTGCTATTTGGAGAATATTGGGCAGTAGGCGGAATAGAAATTGCAAATTTTTTAGCAATAAGTTGGAATTTTTATTATTGAGAATTCCATGTGACTTTTCTTGCCCAAAACTTGCATACCGTTCAATTATTCACCCAGACCTTAAATAGGCTTTACAGAATACAGTGTATGGAAAATTAAATGACTAAAGAAACTAAAAAGGAAAACAATAGTTCAGAATTGCAATCAGATAATTAACTGAAATCTCCAAAGAGCAGATACTATAATAGGTTTAGAAGAATATTCCAAAAAAACTGAAATCTCCAAAGATTCTCAAATCCCTGACTGTCATTTACTCATTTGTCTTCAAGATTTTTGTGATTTGCGTGTGAGGTTTACTGATTTGCGGTGATACTGATGCCCAATGAACGCATTAAGCAAATTTTATCAAAGAAGCATTGAGACGGCTTGAAGAGGTACTCCAATGGTTACAACTTACAAGGAACTGAGGAAGACCAGTCAATCTGCATACAAAACCTTTAACATGTTTCTCACACCAATCTGGAAAAACTGAACAAGAAATCTCTCTTGCTTTTGAGGTTGACTTGCAAGTCGCAAGAATTGAATTTCAGATATTTTTTTTTGGGAGGAGGCGAGTTTTGGTATCTAATTATGAGCTATTTTTTTTTTTAAATCCTACTATATTTATATAGGATATTTCTTAATTTTAAGGGATCCCCCCTGCGCAATATCCTTGCGCCATATAAGCTTTTGTAGTAATTGGTCTTTGGGTTTTTAAAATGAATATGCCATCAAGGGATAGGAGATGACTCTAATATGCAATTGTTTTCCAGTTTCCTCCTGGGTTGTGTCAAAAGTTTCAGTAAACATATTTTGTATAAGCGGATTTTATCGAAGCAATGTGATTGGACATCAAGAAGCATTGCAACCCTGACCAGGATGATCAATTCATCAGCTAACTGAAACACTTGACTCAGCTCAAACTTCAAATACGAATTGTAAAAGATTGAACCATAAAGTTCCTCTCCCTTTCTGGTTAACCAACCCAAAGATTCAAGGTTGACTCACAAGCTTGAATTGGACACTTTTTATATAATTTTACACGCAAAGGAAAAAATCCCTCGAATCCATCCCTGCTTCTCATGTAAGCTCATGTATTTGTTCTGATACATGCTTGGTAATATTTTCTTTGCATTATTTGGTGTAGTAGAATATGGGATTATAATTATATTCCAAAATACTCTCTTTCACGATATGATGTAATGTATACCGGAAAGAGTTGCTGCAAACTTTAGTCTCTCTATAATTGATTTTAACACTTCAGATACTCGAATTAAAATTAATGAATTTGGACTTTTGAAAGTCTGCCAATGTTATGCTGGGAGGGACCATTGGTCTCTAACTCTCTAAGGGTTAAATACTTAAATGTGTAGGTTTTTAGTGAATTACTACCTCCGTCCCCCTAAGTTTGGGACAAAAGAAGGTGACACGGTTTTTAATAAAAGTGAGTTTATGTGATTGATATTGAATTGATAAAGTAAGAATAAAGTAAGAATGATTTAGAACGACACAAATTTTACCAAATAAGGTATGAGACAATCTTAATGGGACGGACCAAAAAGGTGAAACGGGACAATCAGAGCGGGACGGAGGGAGTAGTTATTTTGTGTACCTATTAGTTTGCCAATGTTTGCCTATTTTGGTGTTAATTTTGAAAATTTTCTGATACAGTGCCTGAACGATGGAACACCAGAGGTTAGAGATGCTGCATTTTCAGCTTTGTCAGCTATCGCAAAGGTATTGTTTGTGATAGGAGTTTATATCTGTAGTAACTTTGCGCATATTCTAATTTTTATCATGTAGTGGCATTGTTTTTCTTGACTTTTTTTCCCTTTGTAGTTGGTTGGCATGAGACCTTTAGAAAAATCACTTGAGAAACTCGATGATGTCAGAAAGAAGAAGCTTTCTGAAATGATTGTTGGGAGTGGTGGTGAATCTGATGGTAGCTCAGGTTTGAAAGATTTTCTACTCTCAACAGGATAAACCATTTGAAGAGTCCTTTTTCTTGCACACACAAACATAACTTTTCTTATAAATATGTCTCACATGTGTAATGGGTCGACAATTCCAGTTGCAGTGCCATCTTTGGGAGCAAATACCCCTTCCACCATGGTATTTTTTTGTGCTTGTTCATTTCGTACTCTTTGAAAAGAATTCTATTTATTTCTATTCTTGAATACAGCAATTTGTTTATTGAGCTTATAGAAGGCTCTTTTCACTTTGTGACATGCTGTTAGATGTTGGAGCCTAAATGTTGCTTGCTAATGCTAAATTCCCAAACACCAATGTCTCAATCTGTTTTGCAGGCAGCAGATGGATCATTTGTTAGGAGGTCAGCTGCTAGTATGCTTAGCGGGAAAAAAACTGTTCAGGCTGCTGTAAGTTTTATTTTCTAATACTCAAATACTTTTTGTTTCAAAACCTAGTGAAAAATGCTTCGGGCTGTTGGAATGTCAATGTTTTTATATTTTAGCCCATCAATAAGAAAGGAGTGCCTACAAAATCTGGGGTTGCCAAAAAAGGGGATGGAGGTGGCCAGTTAAAAGCTTCCAAGCCTGTCGAAATTGAAGATGTGGAGGTAAGAAATTATATTTTGGGCATCCGTTTTTCTTTTTATTATATTATTCTATCCTGATGTGTATCTGACTTTTATGATCTTTAATAATGTCTTTTATGCTACAGGCATTATACTTTTTTGCTGTCTCTTATTTTGAAATATTTACTGCAGCCAGAAGATTGGAGTCTCGAACAGATAGAAAGCAAATTAGGTTCCCTTATACAGCCGGATACAATTTCTATGTTGAAGAGTGCAGTGTGGAAAGAGAGGCTTGAAGGTTGTCACATTCTTCCAATTTATATTATTGTACTGTCTCATATGCACTCACTTTAACATTCTTTTTCATTCTCTTCTATAAATAGTGTACGCTTCACTGGGTTTAAGTACAAAGCTTTTCACAATGTAATTTTTCTGGCATTTTTTAAGCCCTGCTCTTGTGTTTCCAGCTATTGTATCGTTCAAAGAGCAAGTTGAAGCACTTCCAGAGCTTGATCCATCAGTAGAGATTTTGATTCGTTTGCTATCTGCTGTGCCCGGATGGAGTGAAAAAAATGTGCAGGTATATTTTTTCTGGCTTTAATAGGTTAAAACACTTTCTTTTAATGTGCATTGTAGTGACAAGTTGACAACCGCAAGATTATTCACCGAAACTATAGCCAGTCGAATTGCATTATGTTTCTAAATGTCTTTTAATTGTAAACAATAGTGTTCGATTCTTTATGGGAATTACCGTGTTCCTGTTAGAGTTCTGGGACTGAGAACGGGTCCAGGGACGGTTTGGGGTGGCAGGGTGCCCAGGTAGGGTCAAAACCTGCTGGCTAGGGTTTCCTTTCTTCTTGCCCGTGGCTGGAAGAGTGCAGAGAAGTCCGTGACTTCTGGAGACTAATTTTCCTATAGATCGATGATGATTATTATTCCTTAAAAGATTTATAAATAGGCATTCTGCCTTTACATGATTAAGTCCTATTCTAACTAAAACTCTAAATTAAATACAAAGATAATATGAAACTGAACTCCTCTTCTGATTAACTAAAACCCTAAAAGTGCATCCGTAACATCACCCCCTCCCTGGACTCCTATTCTAACTGGGCTTGTCCTCAAGCTCATATCCTGGATAAGCAGCGACAAAAGTCTCAACGGCTCCCAAGTGAAATTATCTGGTGTGGGGCCCATTGAACTAATAGTTCCACTTATAGCGTTGACAGACAACTCCAAGTCTGGGAAGCCATCTTCTTCCTCCTCATCTTCTATCTCGATCAAGAAAAGCTTTTTGCATCGGTGATTCATTGTCCACTGTTCATCACAATTATATCATAGCCCTTTTCCTAGTCTTTCTGCCATTTCATCCTTCGTGAGTCGCTTAACAACTGAATATCCTGCCCTTGTTGTCATGAGCGCTTGTCTAAGCCATGGCGGACTACATTGTTTCATATCTGTTGCAGTACCTGAGACCTCGACAAACAAATCAATCTGATGGGTGGACTGTATTTTTGAAGTTCTTGCCAAGGCTTTCTGAAATTGGGCACAATACTCATCAACTGATCCGATCTGCACCAGAAGTTTCAGATCTCCAATCGGGTTAGAACTCAAAGGGGGCCCAAAGCGCTCCAGACAGAGTTCTTTGAACCTCTCCAAGTTGACTTCTCCTTCTTCCCCTATCAATCTATCATCTGATCGAACCACAGTTGTGCATCGTCTATCAAGTGGAATGAGACCATATTCGTCTTTGCAACACTAGGAGTTTCTTGGTTCAAGAAGAATTTTTCGCACCTTTTCAACTAACTGGTAGGGTCGTAGGTGCCATCAAACACAGGAAATTCCATCTTCGCATATTGTGGTTTCCAGGAATTCGAGGTGCTGTGTGATTTCAGTCTGTTATCAGCTTGCTCTTCATGTGTTTCTGTTGATTTGGAATCCCGTTTGTGGACTGCAAGAGACAGAGCGGCAATCTGCCCTTCTATGGCGGTACCCTAGCAGTCATAGCCTCCATAAACTCCTTAATCAAGGTGGTTAAATCCTCATTCTGTGGCGCCATGGATCGTGACGGCTCTGATACCAAATTGTTAGGGTTCTGGGACTGAGAACGGGTCAAGGGACAGCTTGGGGTGGCAGGTGCCCAGGTAGGGTCAAAAAACTGCTGGCTAAGGTTTCCTCTCTTCTTGCCTGTGGCTGCAAGAGTGCAGAGAAGAAATCCGTGACTTCTGGAGACTAATTTTCCTATTGATCGATGATGATTATTATTCCTTAAAAGATTTATAAATAGGCATTCTGCTTTTACATGATTAAGTCCTATTCTAACTAAAACTCTAAATTAAATACAAAGATAATAACAAACTGGACCCCTCTGCTAATTAACTAAAACCCCAAAAAATGCATCTGTAACAGTTCCATGGGCTTGGGCTTCCTAAGGAATCATTTTCCTATGGAATAGAAAAAACAATGATAGAAATTAAGTGTGGTACATTCTGTCTAACTTTCTGGCACCAAACAGGACCTTTTGGTGTTGTAGTTATAACTATTTCCTGTCTATTCACCGCTCCCAAAAAAAGTGCAGGTCCAGCAACATGTAATTGATGTTATCACCCATATCGCTTCAACAGCATCAAAGTTCCCCAAAAAATGTGTTGTACTTTGCATCCAAGGTAAATTTCAATTCTTTTATCCACTATGGTACTAAATATCTAGAAGTGCTCTACATTTGTCGATGGGTGTACCTCATATCTGAGGCTAGCATGCCTTGCTTGTAGGTATCACTGAAAGAGTTGCTGACATCAAGACACGTGGTCAATCCATGAAATGCCTAACTACTTTCTGTGAAGCTGTTGGTCCGGGATTTGTTTTTGAGAGGGTACGTGTGTCATTCAGTGCATTGTCTGTTTCTGTTTCATGATTCAGAATTAATTTTTACTCCCGCCCCCTCTTTTATTTCCTCATTTGATTAGTTACAAATTTTGAGAAAGTGGAAACTGTATGGTTGTAATTTCTTTAGAATAGTGTGAAACAAAATCAACCATAGAATCAGAATCTTTCTCTAAGAAGGAAAGAGGATGAAGTTAGGCTCTGATGAAAAATGTAAAAGTAAAATAACGAAAAACTGAAGATAAGAAAAATGATGAAAAGTGAAAAAAATGAAAGGGACATGGGAGTATTCACTGTCTTAAAGAGATTCCTTATCTAATTTCATAGAATTTTAACATCCTCAGTTTCCACAGATTGAAATATACATGAAAACTGGCTTTATTTTTGGTATACATTCCTGATACTTCATTTGTGATAGCTTGCCAAAATCATGAAAGAACATAAGAATCCTAAAGTTCTTAGTGAAGGCTTGTTGTGGATGGTTACAGCAGTTGAGGATTTTGGCGTTTCACATCTAAAACTCAAGGTAATGTTTTTCCTATTTTTAATAAGGGAGAATATTGTGCTTGAGTTTTTATCTTAAAGATTAAGAGGAATTAATGCTATGTGATTTTTTCTACAGGATTTAATTGAATTTTGCAAGGATATTGGCTTACAATCCAGTGCTGCTGCCACTCGGAATGCGACCATTAAACTTATTGGTGTTCTACACAAGTTTGTTGGCCCAGGTGACTTTTCTGTTTGGAATTTCAACTAGTTGTATGCTCTCTTGATACTTAAATTCAGCTTACCCCTTTACAGATATCAAGGGGTTCTTATCGGATGTAAAGCCGGCTCTTCTAAGTGCTCTTGATGCAGAATATGAAAAAAATCCATTTGAGGTTTGACTTTTATTATTCTCTATTCTCTCTGTTTTGTATTTGCTTCTTGTATGTAACTTATTATTTTGGCAGGGAGCATCTTCTGTTCCTAAAAGGGTTGTGAAAGCATCGGATTCTGTATCTGTGCCTAGTGGGGGGCTGGATAGTCTGCCACGCGAAGATATTAGTGGAAAGATTACCCCTGCTTTGCTCAAGGGCTTAGAAAGTTCTGACTGGAAGGTAGCCTATATCTCAAGCTTATATAGAGTTGATCTGGAAAAATTAGTGTAATTTATACCTTTTTCTTATACCAGATACGGTTGGAATCCATTGAAGGTGTAAATAAAATTTTAGAAGAGGCCAACAAGCGCATTCAGCCTACTGGAACTGGTATTGTTTTCTCACTCACTCTCTCCCTCTGTCTTGCAGAGTATGCGTAGATATGTGAACACGTATTTTATAAGTGAGTACAAGTCAACTGCATCTTTTTTTGTGACATGTCCTTTCACCTCTCTATAGGAGAGCTTTTTGGTGCTCTTAGAGGCCGGCTCTATGACAGCAATAAGAATTTAATCATGTCAACTTTATCTACAATTGGTGCGGTTGCATCTGCTATGGGGCCAGCAGTTGAGAAGTCAAGCAAGGTTAGGTGCCTGACTTGCATTAGTTTGTATCTTAGCATTTATTATCAATTGACTCTTGTCCCTTTTTTGCAGGGTATTCTCTCAGACATATTAAAATGTCTTGGTGACAATAAGAAGCACATGAGAGAGTGTGCTTTGAGCACACTAGATGCATGGCTAGCTGCAGTTCATCTAGATAAAATGGTTAGTGCACTTTTCCCAAATATCTTGTACTCCCTCCGTCCCCCTATAATTGGTCCCATTTTGCCATTTTTGGATGTCCCCCTATTGTTGTCTCATACCATATTTGGTAACATTTATGTGGCTCTAATTCATTCTTACTTTATTCCTACTTTATCAACCACATAATTCTACTTTTATTAAAAACCGCACCACTCTCTTTCGTCCCAATAATAGGGGGACGGAGGGAGTACTTATTAATGTTGTGACATTGATCTTTGACTGCCATGAGCATTGATCATTTTCTAGGTACCATATATTACTGCCTCGTTAACAGATACTAAAATTGGTGCGGAGGGGCGTAAAGATGTTTTTGATTGGTTATCAAAACAACTTGCTGGAATGAAAGAATTCCCTGATGCCATTTTGCTTCTTAAACCTGCTGCCTCTGCTATGACGGTATGCTTTTACTTCTACCTTTCCTTTATTCTACTTTTGGCTGTTCAGTTGGAATAAATGAGAGTTTTTTATTTAAATTTTATGACTTTAAAATCATTGTAATATTTTGGTGTGTAACAGGACAAATCAGCTGATGTTCGGAAAGCGGCTGAAGTTTTCTTTGGTGAAATCCTGAGAATTTGCGGGCAAGAGATGGTATATGGTTTGCGAATGTTCTCACGCTCCTGGATCTATGTGCTGAGTATTAAATCTTCTTCTACTTGCAGGTTACCAAGCATTTGAGAGACATTCAGGGACCTGCCTTAGCTATCGTTGTTGAACGGCTTAGACCACATGGGGGCATACAAGGTCTCTATATGTGTGTGTGTGTGTGTTTGCACACACATATATATCTGATCTAATTTTATCTATATTTGTGTGTGCGTGTGTAACTTTAATTGGTCTTTTTTTGGTTTGATATCTGATATGATTGTTCGTGTCCAGAGTCATTTGAATCTGGAAAAACAATATCAACTGTGCCCCCCATAAAAAACAGCTCAAAGCTGGGAAAATCTAATGCTTCTGCCCCTCGTCATGGAAACAGAGTGGGTTCTTCGGTATGTGTTGAATCTTGAGTTTTGATTTGCGTTTGCCAGTTACAGAAACATAGGTGTACTGAATAGTTTGATGTTTTTCAGAGAGCTCTTCCTTTGAAGAGTTCTAGGCAGGAGCCCCTTATGTCTGTTCAGGACATCAGTTTACAGTCACAAGCTTTGATAAATATCAAAGACTCAACTAAGGTAAAATTGGTATCACATAATCAACCATATGTGTACCTTATGAATGACTCAATACTAACTCTATTGATATAATTACAGGATGAAAGAGAGAGAATTGTGATTCGCAGATTTAAGTTTGAGGAACCACGTCTTGAACAGATTCAAGATCTTGAGGTATCTAGGGTTTACCACTTCACGGTTTACTGAATTGCTTCTCACCAATGCTACTTCTGTTTACTGTAAATAATTTTTTATTTACAGAGTGATTTGATGAAGTTCTTCAGAGAAGATTTTCATAGGAGGCTTTTAAGTTCAGACTTCAAGAAGCAAGTTGATGGGATTGAAATGTTACAAAAGGTGCTTTGGATTGCAATCATGTATTCCCAGGCAGTATGGGCTGTTTTACTTAACTGTTTTAGACTTTTCTCCAATACTTTCAGGCACTGCCTTCTTTAGGAAAGGAAGTAGTTGAAGTTCTTGACATACTGTTAAGGTGGTTTGTCTTGAGATTCTGTGAATCCAACACTGCATGCCTACTGAAGGTTGTTTCCTAAATTGAGAATTTCCTGACAGTGTCAATTATTTACTCTGGATGTCTCCTTTTTTATTGCATGTTCTTTTAGTTTGGTTTTGCACTGCTGGTTATATACCAGTCACTGACTTCTTTCTGATTCTAAAAGGTGCTAGAATGCCTTCCCGACCTTTTTGATATGCTCAAGAATGAGGGCTGCACAATGACGGAAGCTGAAGCAGCAATCTTTCTTCCTTGCTTGGTTGAAAAGGTACTAGTTGTGTCCCATTGCTTTTGTGATGGTGTGGTGTAATGTCATTTGACTACATGCACACTGATGAATGCATTCTACATCGTACTTGATGTATTCTTGGTAATATGACTGACACTTTATTTTATATTTTATTTTGGATACTGCAGTCAGGTCATAATATTGAAAAAGTACGAGAAAAAATGCGGGAGCTGATGAAAAAAATTATTCACACGTACTCTGCATCAAAGACTTTTCCATATATTTTAGAGGGCTTGCGTTCTAGAAACAATCGTACACGGATAGAATGTGTTGACCTTGTTGGCTTCTTATTAGATAACCATGGAGCAGAGGCACAGTTTCAAACTGAACTTCTTTCAATGACCAAAGAATGTGTTTTGTTTATTAATTTAATAGCATCCCCTTATCATTGACAGATTGGTGGACAGCTGAAATCCTTGCAAATTGTTTCCAGCTTAACTGCAGAGCGGGATGGTGAGCTTCGGAAAGCTGCTTTGAATACTCTAGCAACTGGCTATAAATTATTAGGTATGCTTTTTTTTTTCCTGCTTTTATTACCGTGATGATATTTTGAGGGCACTTCCTCTTTTGGACTTCCGTTCTTTTGACTACTTTCTTGGAGTAGGCGGAATTCTCTTGTTGCTTTAAGTTCACTTTCTATCTAGGAAAACTACAATTTTTTAGGCGCCTTCATTTTCTAAACCCTTCCAGTTTTAAGTTATTTTAATCTCTGTTGTAAAAATGTATCAGGCGATGACATATGGAGATATGTTGGAAAGCTAACAGAAGCTCAGAGAAGCATGTTAGATGATAGATTTAAGTGGAAGGTTGATAAATGTTTTGTCTGCCTTTCATTCCTCACCTTTGAGCAGACCATTTTGTCTGTTTGCTCTTATTGTATTAATGCGTAAATATGTTTTCAGGCTCGAGAGATGGAGAAGAGGAGGGAGGGAAAACCTGGGGAGTCTAGGCTTGCAATGAGGCGTTCTGTGAGGGATATTGGGTATGTGTATGCCAAACTAATTATGGCTAAAAGCTTATAGCTATCTGATCTGTTATCATACCAAGCTTATATTCAGTGCCTTTTCTGCATGTGAAAATCTTGTTTTATGGTGTTTGAGGTCTGACACTCAGCCTGTTGTTTTGATATTTAGGTCTGATCTGGCAGAGCAGAGTGGTGAAGTATCTAGGTCTATCTCCGGCCCAATATTAAATAGGTAGAAGATGGAACATTTCCTCTGCCATTTGACAATTTGGACTTGATTTATTATTTTATTAATTTACTTTGTCCTTCTATATCAGGGAGAATTACAACCAATCTGAGCTTCCCATTGAAAGGCATCCAATACCTTTGCCAATTTCTGGAACTAATGGCCCCACAGACTGGAATGAAGCCCTGGATATCATAGCATATGGTTCGCCAGAGCAGGTTCTCTTTGAAGTTTTTTCCAATTTCAATTCTAATCTGATATCCTATTCTGATGTTTTAATTTAGCATTATACCTTATACTGTGTCACGTTTCTTGGTTGTGCGGGGTTGGCCTCGTGGAAAGGAGAGGTTAATAGGGAAAGGATGTTTCGACACTTCACAGAATATAGATAGGGCTTGTCACTCAAATAATTAAAAAACGTTTAGTGAGCTTTCAAATCTACAAACTACAAATATTTTATTAATGAATATCACATTCCTTCCTTTTCTAAACAACTCAGTCACATTAAAAAATGCTCAAAAATAATGGTCAGTTTTGTATATTTGGAAAGTTGCTATTGCCAATTTTTAACAATTTTCCTCTATCCCTCAGTGCACCATAGTATTCCATTTAACAATAAGGTATTAGTGATGGTCATTCTAATCAACCATATAATATTTATATTGGTTTAGGCAATGCTATAGTATTTTTAATTTTCTCAAGTTTCCTTATTTTGAGGTCTCAGGTATCGACATAGGGGGTAACATAAATTTTCAAATCTCTGGAACAGTCAGAATATATACTCATTATCAGCAAGTATTAATATATATACTCATTATCTTTTTCCTTATAAATACGTACTAAATACTGTTTGTTTTCCCCAAAATTCGAAGTATTGATATTCTTATAAATACATAAATTCTATCCTTTGTTTTAAGAAAAAGAAATTATTATTTTTTAATAGTGCTTGAATAGTTAAGAGTTCTTTCATCACTGTGGTATAAAATTTGATTGTTTGTGAGAAGTCCTTAATTATTCTTTATGACTAAACAATTGAAAATGAAATTGAGCAACACAGTACATTCATAAGTATCACAGAGAATGTTGGTTTGAAGAAATCTCATTAAAGAAATCCACTAAGAGATTCCATTTAAAAATTAAAACACTAATTTCCTACATTTCCATCTCATCATGAAGGGGAAAAATATGAAGATTTGGTGTTTCTGAAACGTTAATTAATAAGGGAAATGGGTTTCTTAATTTCTTTAACTGCGGAAGTGGGACGCATACATGAATGTAAAGTTTCCAGGTTTCTGAAGCCTTTCTAAGTATCAGGAATGGCAAAGTGTGATCTTTGCTGAGTTTCCATGCTTCATATGTTCTTCCTAACTAAGGTCTGCATTTTACAAGTAGACAAAAATAATAAAACATCTCAATTTGATGGATTGAGCACTGTTCACCTCAAATCATGTGTTAATGCTGATATCTCTGTGGGGAATGTTTCATATTCAAAAATTGTGGTTTTTAATATCTATACATCCTGAAATGAACTAATTTTATTCTTCCTCTTTCATCTGTTTTGGAACTATCTCTACACTGCCATTTACATTATTACAACTGTTAAGATAAATTTGGGATGAAGGGAGTACATGTTTAGCAAAGAATCATGACTGAATTGTTGAAAAAATGTGTCCTTTGTAGTCCATAGAAGGAATGAAAGTTGTATGCCATGAGTTGGGACTAGCAATGGATGACCCCGAAGGCAGTGGTATGGATCAAATAGTGAAAGATGCAGATAAACTTGTTTCATGCTTAGCAAATAAGGCAAGAAATTCAGTAATGATGCTTTATTTTATTGTACTTCTTTTTATGTGTCGTGTTTGGCATCATGTTGCTTCTTGTTGGATATATACTACAGGTAGCCAAAACTTTTGAGTTTAGTTTGATGGGCGCCTCTTCAAGGTCATGTAAATATGTTCTCAATACACTTATGCAGGCAAGTTTGTAACATACATTCGCGATACACTTATGCACTCTAGACATTTCTCTGTTATCGATCTATCATCTATGTTGTATCTGAACATTTTTCATTTATTGATTTATTCAGACTTTTCAAAACAAAAACCTTGCACATGCTGCCAAAGAGAGCACCATTACGATACTCATCACAGAGCTTCTGCTCTGGCTTTTGGATGATAGGGTTCCCCGAATGGATGATGGCAGTCAGCTTCTCAAAGCCTTGAATGTTCTGATGCTTAAGATCTTAGTGAGTGTGCAACTGGAAGTTATGTTGTTTTGCTTTAGTGTTTACATGTGGCCTGGCTCTGACTGGCTGGCGCATTCCAATTTTCAAATGCTTAGTTATCTGTACCTAAATACTCACGGCATCTGTTCTAGGATAATGCTGATCGGACAACATCATTTGTTGTGCTCATCAATCTTTTACGGCCTTTGGATCCGTCACGGTGGCCATCTCCTACAGCAAATGAGTCCCTAGCCACTAGAAATCAGAAGTTCTCTGATTTAGTTGTGAAATGTCTTATCAAACTTACCAAGGTGATGGTCTTGTAATAGTGCTAGTATCAAACTTTTGTTTGTCTTCCAGTAGAAATATATTGGTAGGCATTGATGAATTTTTCTTGGATATCTTTTTTGTCGACATCCATGTTTCTCAGAAAGTATTAAAAACTTTCCTTGTTAACCGACTTCATGGTTGATGTTATATAGGTTCTCCAAAGTACCATATATGATGTTGACCTCGATCGAATTCTTCAAAGCATTCATGTATACCTACAAGAACTAGGCATGGAAGAAATCAGGAAGAGGTATGTATAAACTAAATAAATATATTGCTAGACTATGTCCTTTAAGTTTATCTGGATTGTTGGTTGCTTTTGTTTAAAGCTTGCACTGGCATAACATTTTATTTGGGGTTCTTTCGATGAATTATTTAGAGCTGGCGCTGATGACAAACCATTAAGGATGGTGAAAACTGTTCTACATGAACTTGTTAAGCTTCGTGGGACTGCCATAAAGGGTCATCTTTCTATGGTTCCTATTGATATGCAACCACCACCTATAATTCTTGCATACATTGACCTTAACCTTCAGGTAGTGTTGCTGTAGTATGTTGCAACTCTTCACATTTTTGTTACCACATAGCAGCACTGTTTACAACATTGGATTTACATGGCGGAACATCTATATGATATGTCTTATCGTCTTAAACTTTGGCAGACACTGGCAGCTGCAAGAATGTTAACTCCTTCTGTACCTGGACAAACTCATTGGGGTGATACCACTGCTAACAACCCCGCACCTGCAAACCATTCTGATGCTCAGATGAAGGTGTTATTTTGTTTATGGTTCTGGCTACAATTTTTTTTACTGTAGTTATTTCACAAATGAAAACCCCACGTAGTCCATTTACTACATGCTCAATTCACCCCTTTTTGGAGACTCGATTTGGTCAATTATGCATTTTGGACTTAGTGTAGCCCCTATTCCTAGATAGATCTAAATAACAGACATTGTTTTTTTATTTCGCGATATTTAGACCTAATTCTCAGGTCTCAATCTCAACTATGTAATTTTGATCAATGCCTCATTAGTAGTGTTATATCAACCATCGGACGAAAACAGCCTTCATAAGCAGTGCTATGCAATGCCTCAGAATTAAGTCTCGTGTGAATTGCATAGTTGAGGAGCAATTGTGCGCGAAAGAATGTTAAAGATCCAATTAAGGAGTGCCATGTAGTTGAGAGACTAAATTTGGCATAAACTCTTTTTTACCTGTGCCTTGCGGAACAAGTAATTGTGTTGCTCTCTCTACAGCAAGAATTGGCAGCAATATTCAAGAAGATTGGTGACAAGCAAACTTGTAAGATTGGTCTCTCTGAGTTATATCGAATTACACAATTATACCCCAAGGTAATTTGCTGCCTGATTACTTACCTTTAAAGGAAATCTGTGGTTAGTGGTCTAATACAGATGGTTTATCATTATAATGCTCTTCAGGTTGACATATTCTCTCAGCTGCAGAATGCAAGTGAAGCATTTAGGACTTATATTAGAGATGGTTTAACACAGGTCTGTAATTGTCCTTTTCTTTTTGTATATGCTATCCATCATCCATCATCATTACCCCAGTGCCGCAAAGGCTCCCAACTATGGTGGGGTAAGGGGGGTCGGATGTACGCAGTCTTACCCTGTACTAAAGCACATAGAGACTGTTTCCGGATGACCCATAGTGAAAATTGTGTCGTAAATTGCATAGATTGACTGCCATTTTACTCCCAGGCCAAAAAAGCGCAGACAGTTAGCGAGCCATTTTACTATATTCCATCCTTCTCCCAAGCCAAAAAAAGTGGGTCTTTGGCTCCATTGCAAATGATGGAAATCTTTTTTGTATATGCAATAAGGAAAAAATATTATTGCGTTGTTCTTGAATCTTGATAGGGGTTGGTGTTCCAATCCCAGGTCTGAAGGAAAAAAAATACTAGGGAGTATGATAGGAATCTGGGTTTTGTAGGCTATTAATAAGAAATAATAATATTAATAATAGTAAAGGTACTTGTAGTAGTTTTAATAGAAGGGAAGGGGTTAATTGTAATATCTAGCATATCCATATGTGGGCATTGGCTATAAATAGAAGGGATAACAACGGGTGAGGCAGACTGTTATTTGATTGAATGTTGCCTTGTTGCCTAAGAGTCCCGGTTGCCTTTGTTGCCTAAGTTGAGACTATTCCTATCAATAAACATCATCTTCCCTATCTTTGTTATCAGATCTGTGTTTGGTTGTTACTGTTTGTGCTCAGATTATACAAGGTTCCTATCATTGGTATCAGAGCATTGCCTTTGTTGCCTAAGTTGAGACTATTCCTATCAATAAACATCATCTTCCCTATCTTTGTTATCAGATCTGTGTTTGGTTGTTACTGTTTGTGCTCAGATTATACAAGGTTCCTATCAGAGTATCAATTTAGGTCTTAATTGATTTAAATAAAAGTCAAAGGCCCTCGAAAATTGCATGGATTGACTGCCATTTTACTCCCAAGCCAAAAAAAGCGCAGACAGTTAGTGAGCCATTTTACTATATTCCATCCTTCTCCCAAGCCAAAAAAAGTGGGTCTTTGGCTCCATTGCAAATGATGGAAATCTTTTTTGTATATGCAATAAGGAAAAATTATTATTGGGTTGTTCTTGAATCTTGATAGGGGTTGGTGTTCCAATCCCAGGTCTGAAGGAAAAAAGTACTAGGGAGTATCAATTTAGGGCTTAATTGCTTTAAATAAAATTCAAAGGCCCTCGAAATATAGTACAAGGTTTGGATAAAATTGTAAAGAAATTGAAATAAATAATTAGGAAAATTGTAAATAGAATCTGAAATAAATAATTAGTACTTCAAAAATCAGAGTATGAAATGTGAAATGGTTCTAAACCTTAATTGTGATAATAATTGATTAACACCCTGATTGATTAAAAAACGTGAAGAACAAACAAGCCCAAACATGGTGTTAAATTTAGTTTTTCCTTTGAGATTTTTATCGTTCAGGTCTTAAGATGATAATTTTTTTTGCTTTCAGGTCCCAAATTGAGGATTTAAGTATTAGCCAATTTTCCGGGGTTTAGTTGACAAAATTTGCATCTTTTTAAATAAGGGTAGTTTATTCTAAAGAGATTCTTTCTCTGTATATTTCAGATGGAGAAAAATGCTGCAGCCGGACGGACTCCTTCTAGTGCGCCTGTGCCAACGCCTCCTGCACTGGACTTGTCTTCCCCAAAATTCAGTCATCTATCACCTGCAAATACAACCCCTGCTTATGACACAAAGTCTGTGAATGCTAAAGTTGAACTCGGACACTTCAGTTTGCCACCTTCATATGCTGAGGAGGAAAGGCCTAGTCACACCGTCCTTTCAACTGGTTCAACATTGCATCAATCCGAAATAATGCGGCAGCAACCAGGGGAATTAAGAGGTGAAAATTTTCCATCTGGAGGTGACCCGCAATTGCTTCAGAATCCGTTTGAAACCCAGAAAACACTAGGCTTATAAAATTGTAGGTGGAAAGAAGTGAAATCTAGGAAAGACAAATTGAGGGAAAGCGAGAGCCTAAAACTCCATATATATAATTTTTATATTTTGTTTGCTTATTAGTTTAGATCCTTTTGGTAAGCTAAAAATAAAATGGCTGAATTGGTTGAAATGTTGAATTATAAAAAATATAATTAAAAATAATCTAAAAAAAGGATAAAATCTCATATCCAGCAACTTCAGCCAAAAAGTACTTGTAGTCCAACCTTTTTCCATTATTAACTATTCAATGTGTTTGGTCAGATAAATATGTAGTACGTATTATTTTGTTTGAAAAAGTAATCCTTAGCATTCTTCTTTTCATTTTCCTATTTGCATTTTTCTAGGGAAAGAGATAATAATAAATTTTATGGGCTGTGCAGTTAGCGGTGGAACCCTGGAAGCTATCAGGGAAAGAATGAAAAGCATGCAATTAGGAGCTGCATCGACTGGGATTCCAGATCCCGCAAATCCCGGAAACATGGAATTCATGTCCACGAACAACGGGGGTATTACCCAAGGAGATTTTAGTCAACAACATGCTTCTGCCGCTGATCATAAGAGCGCAAGTGAGATGTCCCAACATATTAGCACGGTCCTTCCCATGGATGAAAAGGCACTCTCGGGACTTCAGGCAAGAATGGAGAGGCTTAAGAGTGGGTCTATTGAACCACTTTGAATCGAAGCCGTCTTGGTGTTATTGCCACCCGTATGTTTATATATACTATCGTATATAGACACACATAATCGTCTCTCAGATCCTTTTGACATAATGAAGAGTATCACCTATTGATCTGGCAGCGGAGTAGACTAGTGCTATGCTTGATGTTGGTTAGAAGGATTGCGTTGTGTATATTGTAGCCTGTTAGGGCGGGTGGGGTGGGGTGTCATTGTTTCCTTTGTCTTGATTGTATAATAATTAATGAGCTTCAAAATGGTCACCACGAGTCTTGCTATCCAGTTTTGTAGTGAATTCTACTAGAGTTGCTCTTTCCCATCGCCTTGATTTTGCCTACACAAATGTTTATATCATTATATTCTTACAATGAATCCTGATTATTAGTAATGCCTCTGGCGAGGTAGTTCATATTTCATGCTACTGCATCTTCTGTTTAAAGACAATACATTCTGACATTCGTTGATAATGTTAACGACGCATAATCACTTGCAGTCTTGCAAGTTGCAATTATCATAATTGACTGATGATAAAGTTAATTACTGCCTAAAAATACATTAGTTTTTACTAGTGTTTACAATTTAAATATTTAGAAACTACACTAAATATTCTAAGTTAGTGGCATAAATAAATAAATTTAATAAATATATTCTAGTAAGAATATTTTCAATATTGCCCGCCAGGTAGGCATGGACCCGGTTCGGCCCGCCCGGCCCGCCACTGTGCGGGACGGGAACCGGCCCGGTTCTCGGGTCCGGGTCCGGGCTCGGGCCTTGTATTTGGCGAACCGGCCCGGCCGGGTCGGGCCCAGGTCCGGGCCTAATTGATTTTTTTTTTCATTTTTGGGGTAGACCCGGGTTGGGCTTGATGGTTAGGACTTAGGAGGGGTTTGGGGGTTTTGGGGGGGGTGGGGGGGTGAGGGGTGGGGTGGGGTTAGGAAAGCAAAAAAAAATAAAAAAAATTAACCAAACCGGAGGCTCGGCCCGGACCCGGCCCGGACCCGGTGGCTACCCGGGCCGGTCCCGGGCCTTCCTTCCCAAAAAAAAAGCCCGGCCGGGCCCGGCCTGGAACCGGCCCGGGTCCATGACTACCGCCAGGGTTGTAAACGGATCAAATAATTTGTGCTCGATTTGCGATTTGAATTCGTACAAGTCGATTCGAATTTGGAAGATTCAAATACAAATTGAAATAAGAATATTAAATTTGATTTGATTTGTTATCATATACAAATAAGAATATCAGTGTGTTCGATTCGAATATTAATCAAATATATTCCATTAATATTAATGGTAATATTAATATCAATATTAATAATAATAATAATAGTAATAACATTATAATAACTTTTAAAAGATAGCAATACCCTCAAACTCTCAAAGTGTAGCCCATATAAACATTTTTGCATACAGATTTCAAGTCCATTTCTAATAAACCAGAATATAAATACGAATATAAATCATTTTTTTTGTTCAAATGTCTTTTAAAGACAATTCAAATAATTATGTATTCGATTTGAAGAATAAAATTAGAGTTGTTTGACTTTGATCCATACAATTATAAACTTATTTCACACATTATAGATATAATTTCTAATGTGTGTGTTAGTGTTTACTTCAAAAGGTTTGAAATAGATTTACATTTATTAATCATAAAATTAATTCACTTTAGTATATTGTGCACCATCTAAAAATGCATTGATCCATTAAATTTGAATTCTAAAAACACATATTAAGTCATAGCTTCCATTTGCAAAAAAAGTAATAGCATGCATTTACAACATAAAGAATACGGAGTATAAGAAAAGTTATTTTAAAGTGATATTTGACTAATATTTAAACTATGCTCAAATCGATTCGATATTCGTATATGATTTGTTAACTATTCGTATTGTTGAACAAATACAAATACAAATCGAAATTAATATTCGTTTCATATTTGAATTCGAATTAGTATTCGAAAAAATTAAACAAATACAAAATCTCATTATTTGACTCGATTCGATTCGTTTACCGCCCGCGGTTTTTTGCTGCTCTGGAAACTCTCGCTCTTATTCCGTGGTGCACAAAATGGTATAAAAAAATTATTTTAGGAAAGGCACAAAAGAGCCATAGTACAGTAGCAATCATTTATTGCAGTCGTTTTGTATTTTTTGTCTACAATAATTGTTGAGTTAAAGATCAACGGTGAAGATATTGACCAACGAACGGCATCCATACTCATTGTTCAGTAAGTCAAGGCCTCAAAAAAACAGGTCACAAGAAAAGCATCGAAGGCCATGGTGGTGCACATCGCACAAGCACGAATGGGAAGAGAAGATCATATAGAGCTAATCTTGGCCCCGGTCCGGTCTGACCGGCCCGATACTATTTGGGTCCGGCTCGGCCCGGTACTGTTTGGGCCCGGCCCGGGGTGTTAGGGCGGGGCGGGTACGGGTCACCCCATCCTTTGGAACCGGCCCGGCCGGGCCCGGTTCGGACCTTTTTTATTTTATTTTATTTTCTTTTTTTTTTGCTTTTCCCGCGTTGGGCTGGGTGTTGTGGAGGGTTTTGGGTTTGGGGGGGGGGGGTCGGGGGTCAATCAGAAAGCAAAAATAAAAACATAAACTGACCCAAGACCGGCCCGGCCCGGACCCGGTGGAAACCCGGGCCGGTTCCGGGCCTTCACTTAATATTAAAAAGCCCGGATTGGGACCGGCCCGGGCCGGAACCGGTTCATGACTATATAGAGCCTCCTTCAGCAACCGGAAATAACCATCTTACCAGCCTATAAATATAGAGAAAGTTTTGGTTGGAAAAGGTGTGGAACTAAAATAAATTTGGAGCTTAATTGCTTTGAGCATCTTGTTACTTATTGTGAAACGCCCAAGGATTGAAAATTTCGGATTGTGGGATGCAGGCCGTGGGTTAAATTGTGGCCTATATAATTGCACTTACCATATGTCACACATTCACAAATACTTTTTCTTTTTACAGTTATGACTACAATTGTTCATTTTTAGTAAATGAGTGAATGACTACTGGTTCATTATGATGAACACTCGTACTTTTATTCTATTGTTATTCATGTTATAATTTGTTTGTAAATTTGAATGTTCAACTAATGATTTGCATGTTATTTACATTTTATTAGAATAGAATAACATCGAAAATCTTTCAAACCATATCAAAAGTTGGTATTGGACGGGACATGTGCTATAGATACGTCTTTTGGAACGGTACTGGTTTCTTATTTCAGAAATTGTCCTAAATAGGAGTAAAAACGTTTTGAAATTCCAAAATAGGAGTATCATGTTTTTTATTCCCTGAATAGAAGTAATCTGCCAAGTTTGGAAGAAAATGTCATGTTTAAAGCCTTGTAATGCCCAAACTTGGCAGAAATTTACTCCTATTTAGGGAATTAAAAACATGATACTCCTATTTTGGAATTTCAAAACGTTTTTACTCCTCTTTAGGGAATTCTCTCTTTTTATTTTTAAAAGAACCTTAATTTAAGACAAAACATTATTTTTAAAAAACGTTCCGAACCTTCCCACACTCGACCTTGCTATTTACTATTGCCCCCGTCCTGAAAAATTAAAAGAGCCCGACTATAGTCTATTTCATTTTTCGTGATTGTTTAATTTTGAACCTTAGACATTCAATATAGGCTTATCACACAACAAATCCAATGTTTGGAGATATTGACCAAATTAGTCGATCGTATACATATTTATCTAAAAAGAAGCCATCGTTTAAATACTCAAGACAAAATTATGATCCGTCTCATTTCATTGGTAATTATTTAAATACATACATTGTTTTGAAGCATAATTATCCCATATCCATGCTATTTTGTCTTCTAACAATTATTAATACTTCGATAAATTCTTGTCATTGTAGATGTAGTCTATACATCAGATATAAGAGAGAGTAGGGTTGGTGCTCTGAGCAGTTTTGGAAGAGTAGATGTTATATACGCAGTAGTTTTCTTAAGAAAATAAATAAAATCAACAATGACACATTGACAAATTGACCAAATCAATAATTCTTCTAAACAATGATTGTTTTTAAATAATTATGAATACAGTAAGATGGATCATAATTTTGTCTTGAATATTTAAACGGTGGCTTTTTTTAGATAAATATATATATATATATATATATACACACACACACACACACGATAGACTAATTTGGTCATTAATCCCAAACGTTGGATTTGTTTTTGTGTAATAAGCCTTCAATACCATCTAAAGAACACTTTATTTTATCTTGCATGAGACCATAACAAAGTGATAGAATTTATCTATTAAGTAATTTATTTATTATACATAGAGGCATAGAGCTAGAGAGATTCATGAATAGGCTTCACATGAATTTGTGGAGATCGATTCTTGCCCAAGCCACGAGTCTCACCAATTTTTACTCATATCATTCTCTTTTTACCTTCGCATATCTCGGATAACTAGGGTCATCATACTTTTCCCTTACCATTTTAATATCATGAAGCATTCATGCTCAACCCCAATTCAAGAAAAAAATTCATATGACATAAATATTCAATTCATAACCACAATTACATATCTTCCCATTTCATACATGTCTCTCTACCTCTCCAAATAATAGACATGGGGGAAAGAAAAAAGTTATACCCCCAAAAGGAAAAAAGAAAAGGGAATAAGGAAACTGTTCTTCATCTTTACCATCTTTGAACAAATTTATATATTTTGGTGTAGAAATGACAAGTTTATATGTATGTATTAATAAAAGATGAGAAAGATGGGTTTGGAGGAGAAGGCGATTCACAAAGGTAATAATGAGAGATATGCAGAAACCACCAATGGTGTTTCACATCCTGAAGGAAAGGGAAATAGGCCTAACAACAAATATGTGTTAGCTTGCGCCATCTTTGCCTCTCTTAATTGTGTTCTTCTTGGATATGGTTAGCCTTTTATTATCGTTACCAAAAATCTTATCCTTAATTTATAGTTGATATGAAGAAACTCTTCAACACAAGGACAAACTTTTCAAAATAGTTTAAATTGCATAACATATACATGTGCATGGAGGAAATAGCTAGAAATGTCATTTGCATACTTTTATTGTTCAGATGTGGGTGTTATGAGCGGAGCCATTATATTCATGCAAGAGGACCTACAACTCACAGAGGTGCAAGAAGAAGTCTTTGTGGGAATCCTAAGTATAGTTTCTCTCTTGGGAAGTTTAGCAGGAGGAAAGACATCAGATGCCATAGGTAGAAGGTGGACAATGGCTTTTGCAGCAATGGTTTTCCAATCAGGTGCCGCCATAATGGCTATAGCCAACAGTTTCAGAATCTTGATGTTCGGTAGATTCTTGGCTGGAATCGGGATTGGGTTCGGGGTCATGATCGCACCTGTATACATAGCGGAGATATCCCCTGCCATTGCCCGGGGCACTCTCACTTCGTTCCCTGAGATATTCACGAACCTCGGGATTCTGCTCGGGTATGTTTCGAATTATGTGTTTTCGGGTTTGCCCCCGCATATAAGCTGGAGAGTCATGCTTGCCGTGGGGATAACACCCTCAGTTTTTATTGGGTTTGCACTATGTATCATCCCGGAGAGTCCTAGATGGTTGGTAATGAAGAATAGGATTGATGAAGCAAGGTTGGTGTTGTTGAAGACCAATGAAAATGGTAGAAATGGGGTTGAGGAGAGGTTAGCTGATATTCAAAGAGCAGCGGCCGATTGTGCTGGCGGAGACAAGTATCAAGGGAAGGATGTATGGGGTGAGCTTTTGAGCCCGTCGCCCGGTGTTCTGCGAATGCTCATCGCCGGTTGTGGCATTCAAGTGTTTCAGCAAATCACAGGTACATATTTCATCATTAGCTTGATGGAACTCTAACACTCACTCGCATAAAAAGTTTTGAGTTACTCGGCTACTCCTATTTTCGTGTTAATTTTCAAAAATAAAGTGTCAAGTATAAGTATGATTTTTCACTTCAACTTTCTCAAATACTTTTGTTATTACACCAACATCCCCAATCATAGTTCCATAGGGGTGTTTGGAACTGATTCTGCTTCTATTTCTTTTTTAAAAGCAGAAACACTCCGATATATGATTCTGGAAGGATTAGAAGCAGTTTAGAAACAAATTCAAACACCCCATAGTAGTTTGATACTAGTAACTTTTGAACAATTCATATTGATTGATTTTAGAGCTTTTATATAAACAGACCATGAATGTAATAATGAAATTTCAAATAGGTATTGATGCAACTGTGTATTACTGCCCAACGATCTTCAAAGATGCTGGGATGAGGAGCAACTCCCATCTCTTGGCTGCAACTGTGGCTGTTGGATTCACAAAAACAATCTTCATCCTGATAGCTATTATGTTGATTGACAAGGTAGGTAGGAAGCCATTGTTGTACATGAGCACCATTGGCATGACAGTTTCTCTATTAGCTCTTGGAATCACACTCTCTTTCCCTTCCTCCTCTTCATCATCTCATGTCAATCTGGTAATCCTCTTTGTTTGTTCAAATGTGGCATTCTTTTCTATCGGAATCGGTCCGATATGTTGGGTTCTATCATCGGAGATCTTCCCGTTGAGGCTTCGAGCTCAAGCGTCGGCCCTCGGGGCAGTCGGCAGCAGAGTTAGCAGTGGGGTGGTGGCCATGTCTTTCCTATCTATGTCTCGTGCCATTACTGTGGGAGGGACGTTTCTGTTTTTTGCTGCTGTTTCCGCTGTGTCTGTGGCCTTTGTTCATAAGTGTTGCCCTGAAACAAAGGGGAAATCATTGGAAGAGATTGAGATGATGTTCCAGAATGATAATGGTGGAGGAAGAGTGCATGTCGAAGATGCTGAACTACTTCTAATGCAGAGACAAGAATCTTCTGTTTATTAAGGGAAAACTATCAAATAAGCCCCGTACTGTACCGAAAAAGTCAATTAGGCCCTCGTACTTTACAAACACTCAATTAAGTCCTCGAACTATTAAAAAACGTTCAATTAAGCCCTTTTGGTCGGTAAGTAATCGGTTTCCCGGTTAAATGCAACCCGTTTCCCGGCAGCCGCCGTTGCTAGGGTTCGAGCACATCGTCGTCGTCGTCGCCGTTTAACTGGGAAACCGGTTACTTACTGACTGAAAGGGCTTAATTGAACCTTTTTTAATAGTTCGAGGACTTAATTGAGTGTTTGTAAAGTACGAGTACCTAATTGACTTTTTTGGTATAGTACATGGACTTATTTGATAGTTTTCCCGTTTATTAATCATTAAAAAACAAATTCATTTTGCATCTTTGATGTTTTAAACACAAATGGGAGTAATAGTTTGAAGTAAAACAGTACTTCAAATTTCATCAAATTTATTTTTTTGTTTTGAATATTCAAAAAGCATCCGTTAGTGCCTTCGTCCTATTTCACTCCCATTTTGTAAGATCTCTTTCCTATTTACTTGGTCAACACACATAACTCTTAATCTCTTATTTTATATATCAAATTTTTATTAAATTTGATTTTGGTTTTTGCGACTTTGTAAGACTTTTAATGTAGTTTCGGAATATTTAATTTTTTCTTCTAAAAACAATTTCAGTGCGGACATGGATCTGTTTGTTTTATCATCGGTCAAACATCGTCCGTAAAGTATCTTATAATTCGGGACATAGAGAGTATAACTTTTTATGAGATTATAGTTAACTTCCTTTGTTTAAAGAGGAAAAGAGTCAAATAAGTCATTCTAGATATAAGTCATTCTATAGTTAACTTATACGGAGTATGTAGTATCTTCGGGAAAAATACCAATATATTACTAAAACATGTCCACTTTCCCATAATATGAGTTAAGAAGTTTATTTACCACTATATGACTAGTAATGGGTGTAGAGGCATATGACATGCTTTAATATAGCAGTTACATTTGTATGATGGCATATCATTAAGACATTAATGCACTATTCTAGCGAAAAAACTATCCAAGTCATACATTGAGAAATTGTATCTCTTCTAGTCATACATGGGTTAATTTTCTCTATCGTATAAGTACACTAACTTTAACTATTTGATCAATTTGGTCATTTATTTAATTTTTGACATGTAATAGTAGGTTTTTTATATTAAAGAACTCTAACAAATGTTAAAACGTGAAGATATATAGATAAAATTGTGAAAAATTCAGAATGTAAAAATCAATATTTTTAAAAATTTGAAATTATTTGTATATTCTACATCTATTTAAAAGGTTTTTACATTTTATCTTTTCAATTTTTTAGATTTTTGCTTTATTTTTCCAGTTTTCTGATTTTCTTATCTTTTTATTTTAACGTTTCAAGTTTTTTATCTGTTTTTACATTTATGCTATTTTTTAATTTATTATTACATTCTTTTCCAAATTTATATGAATTTTTATCAGAATTATCAATATTCCTAATTATATTTTTTTAAAAATAACCTGATATAGCAAGTTAAGATGACTTGATTCATTGTATTTAAAGAGTAAGCATGCTAATATGATGTTTTGTTTAGTATGAGAGTTTAAGTGATGGATTATAAATAGTAGAATGGTCTATTTAACATTTTACCCCTGTTTAAATTAGCATTAAGAATTAGAAAGTTTACATATGTATTAGAAAATTATACTGGATTTGTGATTAAATACAAAAGTTGATTTGAATATGTTATAATTTGAAGCATAAAATTAAAGATTAGAATATAGCTTCATTTGATATAATAGTATTTGAGACTTTAATTTGGACATAAAGAATGTAAGCATTATTTGTCTATAATGCCCCCCATATATTTAAAATAAACAATCTTTTAATGCGAAAAACATACAGTAAATTAATAATAGATAACTGGTGGGTAAATATGATTAGACTTAGCATATCCACTAAGACACTTTTCATGACCATTTATCATATAATAAGCATCTTAATAGAGCAACTCACATCGCAAATCGCAAATATGAATAAGTTTAAATTCCTCACCTTACTGAATTTGGTCAACTTTGACTGACACGAGGAATAAGAAAGTTAATATTGTACGCTTGATGTTTGTATGAAAGAAAGCTAAATAAGATTAGTCACACATATGTTATTTCAAAAAGAATTTGTCAAATTTTATATAATGACTAAAACAAGTTAATAAGTTTCAGTGAGCTTGAAAGAGTAAAGGACATTACTTTATTATCTAGATACTAGACTAGATATATAGGAAGTACTACACAATAGTAAATGAAACAAAATGATGATTGCAACAATTATGATAATAGCAACATGGATGGTCGGTGTTCGCCGGCCGCATCCTCTCGATAAATGGGAAACAATAGTGAAATCACAGTTGTCTAGTGGCGGAGCTGATTGTGTGGCTGGTCTAAAGTCTCTATGAGAGGATTGAGAGGCACCTTGGGCCTCCTTCCCCTAGTTAAATGTAAATATGATATAGTAGCCTGCGATCCTATACATCGGTTTATTATTTGATATTCAACAATTAAGGGTCGTTGTTATATACATATATATGTATATATATATAGAGTCTCGTTCCTATCAGGAGCTCCTGAAGAGAATCCCCGTGCGGACAAGCCCATCAGAGGGTCTTCCCGATGGCATTTTTTGATTAATTTTTTTGAGCATGTTCCTCATCAAGTCTAGTTTGTCCATACAAAAATTTCAGCTCAAAATTCGATCGGGAAGGCAGTCAAATAAATCCTAGAAACATACTGCACTTTATATGTGCGCAGAATGAGCCATAGTTTTCCAAGATTTATTTGACTGCCTTCCTGATCGAATTTTGAGCTGAAATTTGGTATGGACAAACTAGACTTGATGAAGAACATTCTCAAAAAAATTTCATCAAAAAATTCCACCGGGAAGACTCTCTGATGGGCTTGTCCGCACAGGGCTTCTCTTCAGGAGCTCCTGATGTGAACTGCCCTATATATATATATATATATATATATATATATATATATATATATATATATATATATATATATATATATATATATATTGACCACACATTATTGTAGCTGATATCATTGATCTAAAGTGTCTTTCGGATGATACGTCAAGAAAGGTTCATAAACCTAGGTATTCAAATTTTTAGAATATCATTAGCTATTATTAATCAAATTATTATTCAACAGTTTCCCAATATATAGAGAGACTTGATGTCACACAATAGGGGTGGACTGGGCCGGGTGTAACACCCCCATTTTCCCTCCAAAAATAATACTTGAAATAATAGATTTATTGATAATAAACTTGATTTATTCTTTCAAAACAGATAAAAAGTTTTGCAGCGGAAATAACATTAATTGGGAAATGGGTGTTACCGCCACATCCGGTCATCTCTTAACCGAATGCACAGGCAATCACAGAACAAAGTAAAACAAGTGTTCAACATAACTAAAGTGTTTATTCTTGACTAGGTTTGACTAAGGCATATCTCAACCGCTCTCAAGACCATGCAAATCATCAATCCAAATAAGCATCATTACCTGCACAAATAAAGTGCAGAAAACAAAACATGAAAAAGGAAACAAAAATTAGCTTTAGAGCTAAGTAAGTACTACCCAACCCCGTAAAATAATCAGGTTTTGCGAAAAATAGTTTTTCATATAACACTATATAAAAATGACACACTCCACCAAAATTCTTTTCTCTTTGATATTTCTCAAGATCACTTCTTTAATAAAGTCCTCAGCTTTTCTCTTAGAATTTCTCAAAATTCTCTTCTTCTCTATCTTCCTAGTAATTTAGAAGGGCGGTACTCAACACTCTGGTTGAGCCTGGTGGTTACGTTATTATGTACGGCCACCCCGGGACTTTTGCCGGTACCACAACTGCTAATGGAAACGAAACGACTACCTTAAGTGTGCACACCCCCTAAAAGGGATTCCAAGCCCTACGAGTAGTAAGTCGTCACGAGTAATCGGGACTCAGTCTACCAACTACCCCACCTTTAAAATTCTTGAATGATTAGGGACTACTACTACTACTATAACTTCTTCTTAAAAGGGATCATAGATCCAAATGTTACTTCAAACTCAAACTGTACTTCTTAGTAGTAGCAGCCTTAATCACCCTCCACATTTATCCGGATGTGGAAAACCGACACCACGGATTTCTCCCGGGTGCTCACTTCTTATGAAAACGTAAATTTTATCTTGACTTTAGATATACTTCCAAAAAATATTTCTCAATCTCTCTAAATAATCTCAAAGGTATTTAAAAATATTTAATACCCAAAAGTACTTCGTTTGCACTTCTCAAATACCATAGATCTAATATCTCCTCAAAATCACATACACATAATTCAAAATTCACACTTAATCACATAATGCATAATAAGCATATAATACGAGGAAACAATTTTGGATCGGCAAAGAAACTTACCTCAAATTTGATGCTTCTAATTCTCCTCCTCTATTCTGATCTTTAAGTAATCACCTTTTTAATTAAGATGATATAATCAGTCACCAATTCTATTTTTAATAGTTTATCAGATTTAACCTTTTTTATTAATATGATTAATTAATTACTCGAACTTAGTTTATTCGTTAATTATTAATTAACATTTTAAATCTGGCCTTATCTTGATATACTATTATTAATCCAATATCTGAGTATATAAGTAATTTACTAGTCATCATCAATTACATCTGATTTCATAAATAAGATATTTTATATAGTCTGTCCGGTGGAAGTGGAAAAGAAATTTGGAGCCTAGCGGTGTGTGCCGTTTATGTGGTCAAGGCAGGGAAGATGGTTACCATGAAGTGATAGCCTGCACTAAAGCAAGTGCCCTTAGGCTGGAGATGCGTAACTGCATAAGCATTGGGCGTTGCCATATGAGAGGAACCTGATTTACACCGGGCCGGATTGGTTGCTTGTAATTCTGAATATTATAGATGAATAAATGAGGGCCAACCTTTTGCTCATTCTTTGGAGGAGCTGGCATTTAAGAAATGATGCCATTCATGATAAGGGGAAAGCTACTATTACTGATTCGGTATCCTTTTTGAAGAGCCATAATGACGTCGAGAGGTTGGGGCGGCTGCAGAAGCATGACAACAAAGGAAAAGTCCTACTGGAGGATGTTCACATGTCAGCGGGAAAAGCTAAGGAGCTGGTGCAATGGATACCTCCCCCGGAGGGGTGGACCAAAGTCAATGTAGATGGAGCGTTCTTTAAGGAGGCCGGAGCAGCTAGCATTGGCATCGTTGTAAGGGAGTGCAGGGGATTATTGATTTACTCGACGCATAAACGGATTCAGGCATGCAGTTCTGCTACGGAGGTGGAAACGGCAGCATGTTTGGAAGGTGTTCGTATTGCTACAGACAAAATTCAAATGCCAATCATCCTGGAATCAGATAATGCTGAGGTTATTCATAGTCTCTCAATAGGGTTGGCATCTCCAGCTTCCTGGTTTCCATTAATTCAAGAAACTAAGAGTGTTTGTAGTAGATTGGTGGAGGTGCAGTGGA